ATATTATATTCTATATATATATATATATTAAAAATGTGAGAAGTGATCTGGCCATGGTCACTGGCCCAACATCATTTCATGGAGACCTTACAAATGTTTGTGCTAAAAGAATATTATTTTACGATAATGATTTACTAGACTAAACAATACCGAACGATTCCATTGCCACGTGTTTCACGCATTCTACCACAATGACGTAAAATTGTCAGACTTGAGCGTGTACTGCTGTCCATACGCCAATTACTGTAGTTTTTAAGATCTTCATCAATACAGAAAAACACACCTTAAAAATATAAAATTAAAAAATTTAAATTTTAAAAAATTATTTCAATTTACTAATTCATTCAATTGCATTTTATTCAGTTGCAACAAAACCATCAAGGGCTATGATCTGCATCTATAGTTATAGTCGTAATGCTATTGAGAAAAAGGCATTGAATAATTTGTAATTGATGAACTAGAATAAATTATAAATATCTGAAAAATATTAGACACAAAGAGAAGAAACATAGCAAGAATGTCAACATCAACAATAGTATTAAAGTAAAATTAATTAAAATAAAAAACCATCAAATGATAACTATACCCTTTGTGTCTTTGGTTTCCTGTGCTTTATACTTTTTGTGTTTCTTTGTGTCTTTGTTGTTGAGTGAGCTCACTGGTTGTTTCAGGAATGTGTACTTGGCAAGTATCGCTTTGTTGATCCCCTCAACAACATTATTTACAGTTTCATATGGTAAACGTCCTTTCATGTATCTGAAATGTTTATTATTCTAAATTAATCAACACATTCAAAAACTATTGTATTCAGTGCATTGTTAGTCTGTTAACTGATTCTCTGCACAAACAGTAGCATCATTCAAGGCTAAGCTGAACAAATACATTTTGAACCAAAAAATCTATTTGTTAACCACCACCCCCTCCCCCTCCCCTTCTCCTCTTTATCTGATTATGATCTACAGGTTAGACTCACTTGGGAACACTATCATATTCTTCAACTGTAAGGTAGTCCATAACAGGAACAGCTACTTTCCTTGGAGCTTTGGTAGTTGACTTAGTGGCTTCATCTTTGTGTTCTGTATTTTCTTCATATTTTGCCTGTAATACAATGCTGAAATTAAATCAAACAATGATTTGAATTGAAGATCTACATTGGAGAAATCATGAGACCTATTCAAATCAGGGGTGGATCCAGAGATGTCCTAAAGGGAGGCAGAAACAGGAGCCAATTGAGACAACGCTACCTTAGGGGCTGTCTCTTATACACATCTAGATGTGTATAAGAGACAGTATATATACTGTAGTTATGATGCATTGAAGTGATGGGTGCATGTATATCCTGATGAACATATCAGGCTCGTAATGCCTGAGTAGGAATTACGTTGAAGAAGAGAGCAGGCGCTCCCGAAATATTCGTTATTAAATAAATTTGTATACATCCTGGAAAAACTTCAACCGCCTATATTATTATTTCTTGTCTCCATTCTACTATATGTATATATATTATATATATTATATAATGTATATAGGGCTTATATTAAAAGGTGTTTCTCAGCTCACATTCGGAAAACATTATCTGCATAGGCCTATAGAACAACACACTACAAGTACACATGTCGTAATATGCCCAAATCATAATCACATCTGTTCTGTTTAATTATTCATCCAATAGTCATATTAAAATTTTGTTCTATTGCTGACCTTTTCTATAGTGCAACCATTTACGTATATAACTACTGCACCGACCTACGTCAAATTTCTAATTATATTGTAGGCATACATTTGAAAAAAAAAAACTGAATCAGATCAGATTGTTACTGTAGGCATCGCTTTATATCTTTATTCATCACACACTAAGAAATCTGTTTAGAATAAATCTACTGATCTCCCACTGGACCAATTACAAAAATACAAAATAAATAGAAATATTTATAAGCATATACTGTACAAAAACATACATACATTATACAATCGTTATCTCCTTCAATTGAAATATGCGAAATAAAACAAAATAGGATGGTCGCTAGCCTATAACTAATAAAGTTGCTACATCAAATACATTTATCATATATCTTGTAAACATTTTTCGGTGTGTCTTTTATTCAAATTCGTTTCTCATTTCATCAATTTTTATTTGTATAATCTTTCTAAATCTACGAAGAATAATTGTCTGCGACTATGATCATTTGATAAATTTCAACGATAAGCGAGAGACCGTCGGATCTGTTTAGAGGTGTATGTATCGATACAGATCAGATTAAATGGGGTTGGAATCAAGATTGCGTAAGGTACCGGAAACGGAGTGTGACGGAACGATACTTTATGAAACTACTAAATCGGGATACGTCGACTAAATGAGGATAAAATGACGAACTTTGATAGCTATAGAACATGAGCATTTAAAGACCAGGACACTATATAATTTATGCGAATATTCGAATATCAAAACTAATATGATTGCTTTGTCACCTCGCTTAATTCGAAATGTTCGACGTAGACTAGAAATAACAACGTTCAGTACTGTAGTAAACTAAAACAACTATATAACTATTTGTATATAGTATGGTATAATAAATATATAGTTGTCTCAGGTAGTAACCTATAGTGGCTGAATCTATTGCCATAACCGCCATTAGAGCATTGAAAAGTCACTAGTTTATATTTTATGTTTGTTTTTGTTAAGGAACCAGATAAAATTTCATTGTATGTGTATTGTACATGTACATATGACAAATAAATTTATTTAGTATTGAATAGTATTGATTATTAAGTATATATATATAATACATTACAAAAACAAATTTAACAATTTAAAAATATTAATAAATAAACGGTTCTTGAAAGTTCAATGACGAATGAAATAGGCCTACAAATAATTAAAAAAATATAAATTGTATACATGTATATAAAACCTATATGATAGGCCTAAATTTAAAAAATACTTTTATTTATCTACGCTATTTACGATTTTAAATGTCAAAATCAGTTAAATAGCAATGATCTATTATATGAAACGGCGGTATACGTATGAATGAATGTATAGACTACAATATTAAGAAACACAGCTCATATTACGCGCAACGAATTATTTGTATACAATAGTACAAGAATCTAATAAAGGATTGCGTTTTAAAATTCTAATTTTAGAATTTGTTTTGGACGGTGGTATATTTAGTAATGCTTGCACGTAACTATCACCTACTAAATTTCTTATTTAGCAAACAGTATGTTACAGTAATCAGTGACGTCAGCAACTTCTACAGCAGACAGATACAAGAGTTGTAGAAGCGTGACCCGGTGACGTCATTTCTCTATCAGAAATCGTATAAAAGAGAGCAAAACAAATAACAGGCAAAACGAGTAACATAAATATATGAAGCTGGACGTTGAAATAGTGACGTCAGAGCGATTTAACAGCGATGCGATATGCAGACGACCGCTTTAAATACGTTACTAATGTAGTGTAGTAGATTAACTACTATTTATAACGCGTGAAGCCAGACGTAGAAGTTAAATATATATATATATATATATATAGATGTATTTGTAATCTGCTTAACTCCGGTCCATTTAGGTTCAGGGATTAGTTGGAGTCTTGTGACGCATGTTGCTACTCGAAGCAAGCTTCTTGTTAATTGCAACCCAAGGCAAAATGTTGGCAAACCGGGAAAGGGGCATGAACGAATCTTTAAAAAATACTCTACAAGCTAACATACTCATTATTATTTTTACGCTGGTCGTTCAAGATATTTCTGTATTGCAAAGATTGTATCATCCGCTGTTAGCGTCGTTAAATCACCTGGACAAATCGAAACATAGATTTAAAGACTAAAGAGGTCTAAAATATGGTATGACGTAAGTACTTAAGGTAATTCTGATTGTTATTACTTATAGTAAATTTCTCTTTCACCAGAAAGAGTTGAGTCGCTCCGTTACGTATGGCCTAAACCATATAATTAGTTATTATTATTATTATTATTATTATTATTATTATTATTATTATTATTATTATTATTATTATTATTATTATCCTTGTGTGTTTGTAGAGTCTGGGATAGTTTGTTGGGTGTGCTATGAAACACTTTGATATCGGCTTGTAGTAGAATGCGCTGAATGCGGTGTGAAAGCTGTCCCAAATATGGTAAACATTATAGACTTTCTCGATTCCGCAATATCTTGCCTGTTGCTGGGTTTGGGTGTAGCAATGGCTCTCGTGTGATAACCATTCAGTTTTAGGGCTTCCTTAGCATGTTGCAATTCTTTCTGGAAGGAGTTGTGGTCGTTGATGCAATGTGCTCTTCTGATGAGTGTGTTGCAAACTCCCTTCTTGGTGGACATGGACACGAGCGTTTTAGATATCTGTCTCTGTGTGTTGGTTTGCGATAGACTGCATGTGACAAAAAGTCCCTGTTTCCTGTCTGGCTACCAAAACATCAAGAAAAGGTAAAGAGAGATTGTGTTCCTCCTCCATGGTAAACGTGATTGCGTTGTGCTGAGAATTCAGGTGATCTAGAAAACCATCTAGGTACACCTTACTGCGTTCGCCAAATGATGAAAGTGTCATCGACGTATCCAAGCCAGAGTTTTGGTTGTTTGGTGGCTGAAAGAAGCGCTAGTTGTTTGAACTTTTCGAGGAAGATGTTGGCAATGACGAGGATAAAGGCGACCCACGGCCGTGCCTTCTGTTTGTTCGAAGAACTTGTGGCGCCATTTGAAACTAGTACAGAGGAAACACTAAAAGTAAATCGTGAATCTGTTCAGGGTTCAGATCTGTTCTTTCTTGGAGATTGTGAGCCCTTTCACAGTGTTTGGCTATCGACAAGCCTCCATGACCCGTACGTTTGTGAAAAGTTATTTGCTGTCGAAGCTAACAAGAGTGTCTGTAGATTCAAATGAATAAATAACACAATCAAGACACAAGCATATCTTTATAAACGTTTATTTATGTCGCACGAGATCGGTCAAGACGAAATGAGAAAAATAATAGGCCTAACCAATTTGTATGGAAATTGTAATTTTATTAACAAATGACGAAAACAACAAATACATAGCAAAATATATAAAATGGGCAGCCGCCAAAAATTGTACATATTCTTATTAAATGTAATGTAAAACAGTAAAGGCCGCCCTAAAATACTATACACTAGTCAGTACAGTACCGGTACATCTAATTGCTGTAAATTTTTTGACTACATTTAAATTATACATTAACACCCAATGAAGACACAAATCTTGAAATTTGAAGAACTTAGGCCTAAAGGTCATTTAAAGTCACTTCAGGAGTCGGGAAAGCTCATTTCTCGCCATCTAGGAATTTTTTCCGGGGAGAACACGAACCCCCTTCCTCTTTGAAGGTCATCGAATGGAATCGTCTTTAAAAGACACATCAGTAGTCGGGAAGCTCATTTCCCGCCATCTAGGAATCAAAAGATACACCCCTGGTCTCTGCACTTGTAATTCAAACATAAACATCCCTCGTGCGCTGAGAAGTAGCCTAGGATCCCTAGTCATACAGCCACATGTTACATTCTGTACGGTACTAACGATATTTAGTGGCCTGCACGTAATGGAAAACTTAACAACTGACCAATGAGAACAGGGCCTGGAGTACGCGCCTGTCCCCACAAACACGTGTTTCTAAGTTTACGCTGTCATTTTGTAGGACCTTACAACCATCTAAAGCGTATTGAAGGGTAGAGGGAGAGCGTGCCATTTCCGGCCATCTAGAGATGCCATAGTCAACAATTTTCTTACCTCAGCCCCAACCATGGTGGGCCTGAGGTGGTGTAGACTCTCTCCATCTTCGGAAATCCCCCTCGGAAGTCCCCTTTATTTCGAATTCCTGGATCCGCCACTTAGTAAGGTCCATTCACCTCCTAGTCCATTCGGTTGGAAGCTTAAATACAGTAGGCCTAATACTACAACGCAATTATACATAATATTAATTTTAAAAGTTTTAGTTAATGATTGAAACCACAGTGCCGTAAAAACATACGATGACACATACTCACTCGGCCGCATCTACACCCGGAACTCGCCCACTAAAGGCTTGTGTACTGTATGTGACAATATAAATATTATACTGCAATTTTTTTATAGCTTTTAGGGCACCTTCTAGATATGCTACCGTATGATGTTGATTATAAACACAAAACTCACAGTACAAAAACATTTTGAGAAATGCTTGAAATTTAATACATATATTCGTAGAAACAAATTCGCTGTGTCAGTCTCATATGAATTCGCGAGGGAAATAATGAATTGAATCGCTTAGAAACAGCCTATTTACCTGATTATAAGCCACCCTGAAGCATGATTCAATTATTTACTTATAGCGTACATTACTGATATCTTGAAGCGCGTGTAATGACAGCTCTGCTTAAACCTCGGGCCGTATCATGTTAAAAGGGGCGATGTCACACTGACAGATCAATTGCAACAATATAATGTATTCACATTTTCCAGGTTCGATAAGGAATTTAAGTGGCTCGCTTGCTTGTGGCCTTGTTGAGTTTTTTTTTTTCGATTTCACATTGGAATAAATTCATTCTTCTCTGCATGTTGGAAATGGGGAGTACATCCTACGACTGAATACCACGCAACACGCACCCTTTAACAGACCAAGGAACTCTACGCGCACAATTTTCGTGAGAAAATGCTGCTTTAAATTTGTAATTATACTGGGGTGCATTGTAAGTATTGATCCATTCATAGACTAATATTACCGATAAGTGATCACATGATAAAATCATAGTACTACAGTTCTTGCAGTTCATGTAAACACGATGATATATTATATAAATGCTTGCTAGAGACTTGCAATAAATTCTATGACGTCACGACCGAGGAAATTGATATTAATCCTTTGTTTGATAAAAGCAACTTTAAACTAATTCTGTTGTGATAGTTTTCGAATTCAGCTAGGCCTATAATTGTTGGCCATTCTACTGGTTCATTAAGATTATATTGGTTTTTCATTTAATTAATGACATTAAATACATATATTCGTCACATAACATCACAATCGACACGGGAGGGAAACGGTTGAAATGATCGAAGGCATGGAGTTAATTGAAATTTAAATTCCCAAAGTTTTTTCCCCGTTAACTCCTCGTAAACCCATCCATCATTCATTCTCATGTCTAATTTTTCCTGCGTCATACTTCTATCGATATCAGAATAATAGAAACCGACATTACAAGGTTTGAATATAGGCCTACTTATGGAGTAAATAAACATTATTGGATGTCTTTGAGAAAGAGCTCATATTTCCTTTTAGTAGTATCTAAGCATTCGGCCAGGTTACCATGATCCCTCTTCCTTACATTGTACTGTACTCTATACCCCAACGATCCTCTTTCCAGAAAGTTAAAATAAAGTTTGGGCTTCGAAAAAGTTGTTGATTATTCCTGACCTCATTGGGTGAATCCCATTGCTTTCAGACTTGTAGTGGAGATTTAAGCCAAACTTTGTGCTAATTTATTCCAACGATGCTCTCGGGTGGGGGAAGGGAATTCAACTGACACTATGAACCTTAAGCACCACTCGGATATTGTGGCTAAGATGGGGAACCTTAAACAGCGTACATGTATTCCTGGCTATATAACACATTCTGATTGGTCAGTTATTAAGTTTTATTGATTCTCCGGAAAAGTAGGGCCTATATTCTCATTTGTTGTTCAAACTGATAGGCATACCATTATCGTTGAGTGTGTTTATCCGACTCAGTTTTATCATTCCGGTGTAGAAATCTGGGTAAACACTTATTTCTATGATTCAGTTGATAATGTGGGTTCTTAATAACAGTACCGTAAATGCTCGAATAAGCACCCCTCTCGAATTATATAGCTAAGCGCCGCGGCGATTAATCGAGAGTAATTACATTGTTGTGTGTAATGAAACACTTCGCGAAAACAGGGTTTTAAACACAATATATACAGTGTTAAAATAAATAACATAATGAAGACACAAGCATTTCTTAATAAGCGTTTACTTACGATGACGTAGGACCAATGATAGGCCTACTGAATACGTGAGATACGGTAGGTAACATGGGAAAGGATGGAAAGCGCCACGCCAATACATTTTTATAAGCGCCGCACTAAAGTCTTGTACAAGGCCGCGGCGCTTATTCCAGCATTTGTATTCAATGGACGACGGTAGCGGAACGACCTATTTTCATACGAGCTAGCAACAACATTTAGAAAAACGGATAAATTCGGGCCTGTAGATAAATCCCTAACTTCTTCACCGTCTTTATAAGACGAAATTGTATTAAATACTACAACGTATGTATCTGTGCTACTAATCCATGAGTACACTCTCACATTTACACACAAATCAGCCTAAGTACTGTACGTGTATTGATTTCTGCAGCCATTAATTCATCATCAGTTATAAAATTGTTATTAGGTTATTTTTGGTTACTACAGATTAAGTTCCGATAAAAAAACAACCCATCAAGTTTTATTTAAGAGTTATTGGCATCAAAGTAGAAGACGGAATAGCATTGCAAGAGACGAATCATGCAATTATGCAAACATTAGCTTCATAATTTCTAGTTTTGAGTTTTTTGAGTAAAATGTTTCCAACTTATTTCTAAACTTCCCCATCCCAAATCAACACAAAATTGACAAAAAAATAACCCATATCACTGTACCAGTAGGCCTATTTGTTATGTACAGGGAAAGATTCCAGGAGAGGGAATCCAACAGAAAAATTGGTTTATTCAATTATTGGTTTGTTTCATTGGAGTTTTCATCACAAGAGTTTTCATCACAATGTAACGTTATGCATTCACATCTACTTGGCTTCGCCGAATTGAAACCCTCTGCTTGACAACCAAGACCCTCGTCAGGATAAAAAACAAATTTTCCCTCTTTTTATAATTCTAAATCTAAAATAATAAGTCTTATAAAATGTCAGCATAAAATGGTCCCAAAATGTCCATTTTCTAGACGCCAGTGAGTTATTCTTTAAGATTTCCACTGAGGGTTCGCTTCTAGACTTAACTGACTTCTGTGGAAAATTGTCAGACCTCAGTTTGGACAGCTTATAACCCCACTCTTTGATTGTTGAACAGCTGAGTTCTCCATATTCAACAAAAAAGGCATCCACATCATCCACTTAAAATCACGTTCACTGCTACCGAAACTATCAGAATTCAAATCACTGGCTAAAAATCAAATGCATCGTTCTTCATATGAGAAACTTGGCTGGACGAAACAGTTAATGATAAACGAAATAAGGATCGAAGGTTTCAGGCTCATACGCGAAGATAGAAATAGAAACGGTGAGAAGTTTGTAAATATTAGTATGGGAAGAAATTGCCTTCTGAAAAAGCGAAGATTTTAGCTTTGGAAAGTATTGATGAAATTAGGTGTGAGCTAAAAAAAACAAAAACAAAAACAAAAAAACAACTAGTCATATCGTTGTAGGAACACGTTATCGCCCATCAAATCATTCTGACTTCATTGGTGGTCTTGACGAATCCATTATACAGTAGTAAAGAATATTGGTCATCCTCGGTGATATGAGCATTGATTTAAAAATCTCTACCACATACTGTTCAGTCTCAAACAACCTATCAAAGACTTTACCAGAATTACAGATACTTTGTTTCAATCACTGATCACATTCTATGCAACTACCCAAAGAAAATATGAGTCTGGTGTAATTCAAACTGGTCTGAGCGACAAATTTTTATCGTCAAGTTTACAATTAAAGGCTTGGAATTCGCTTCCCTAATTGTTTAAAATTAAAAAAATATAAAAATTCCAGACTGGCAACAATCAAACGTCACTGTTACTCTGTATTTCTAACCTTCTTATGTCGTTTTTATTTATTTATGTTTTTAAATTTCAATTTGATACATGTACTTATCTTGTTTTATAAAATCTTTGTGTAATTTTACGAATTTTTATTAATTTAAATTCATTTGTTTTAAAATTTCAAGGGCTACCATAGTTTACAAAGACCATCACTCTTTCTCGTTTTCAAATTTCCTACTTTTCAAGAATGGATTTGTTTATATTTTAATTTTTTTGAAATTGTTCTTGTTGCATTTTAATGTATCTGATGTTTTATACTGAATAGAATTCAAGTCAAGACACTCCTCCCACTCAAAAAGTAAATCCTATAGACACCACCGGTTTTGAAATGCACAATATAAGCACAGAGCTGTAAAGTTGTGCTAATGACGTATGGCGATGAAACAAACCGATTGTGCGTATCAATGAAAATGTATGAATGTTAGCTTATTTGCATACAGCCTCTTACGTCATACGTTGCAATTTCAAAAACTTAAGAAACGGAGCTCATGCAGCGCACCAACCGAATGAAATGATTTAACAAAGAAAAAAAATACTCCAAGAAATGTACCAGTCGAATGAGTTCAATAATAGAGGATACTGATATTGAGTTGACAAGTTTGATCACAATAATGAGTCTTTATTTACATATCAATTGATCGTTTAACGAACAAAAAGTACACCCAATGTATTCCGTGTCACTTACACATGCGTAATAAGCACCACTGAATATCAATAGTAATTAACATTGATATTGGCAAAAGACGGTTATTTATCCAAATGAATTTAACAATATACATAAAGAAAAATAATCTTCAGCTTTACTTATATAGTACAGTATAATATAATCATAACTATTAATATTATCATATGATTCCTATTATAATATAATCATAACTATTAATAGGCACTATTATCATTATCATATGATTTATATTTTGCTTTAAATTAAGCAAATCGTTCAAATTGTACATTAAAATTCAGTTCACATGCATATTCACATTGATTAATGTGTATTTTCAGATTACACTATTAAAATAAAACAGTACAGTAAATACTCGGTTTTTCAGAATGCATATTCATAATATATGCAAATATTCTTATGAATAGGCATTTTGTTACATAAAAATAATAAATTTCGATATAAAAAACAGTCCTAATAACCCATAATTTTAAACAATATTAACGAAAACGTTATCGAAATAAGTTATTGTATAGTTTTAATAAAGAGGTTTATGGTTAATTTAAAAGTTAAAGCAATTGTATTTGGTTTCTTTAGATTACTGTATATCATTATCAACATTAGTTATATATATTATCAACAATATATATACGTGTTACGTCCCAATCAACCAAATTATCTTGATCAGACAAAACTTAAGGTTGGTTGTTAATGGATTAAAAACTTCACACGAAGTTATAGTTCATTAAATAACATCGGCAATATAAATCAAGTTAAAATACTATAGATGTAAGTCTATGTGTGCTGATGGATTACAATATAAGTTAAATAAAATTTAATATCTTTACAAATCAATCTGGAAATAATGCATATTATTTTATAAGATACAAATATAATATTATATAATATATATGTTATGTTATTAACATTAATTTTCGCATTTACATACTGTGTAACCAACAGCGCATTACTGTATGACAATACTTTGCAAATACATGTATCTTCTTTATCAACTACCTTCTATATACTACATTATATGCCTGTCTTAGTCGTGTTCAAGTTATAGTTTTAGGGAAGAAAAAACACCAATTTAATAAACAGTGTAAATGTTATATTAAGGTCTGGAAAAAATCTCCGTCAATATTCGAATCTAAAACTGTACAACCAACTAGACGTTTAGTTGTTTTATCAACTGAGGTATGATGGCAAGTTAGTATATATACCAACTATGAATTATATTTTTCTTACGACAGTGGTTTACTAAAAGACCATACGCAAAAATTCGACAATACGAATTGAGAATTTTGAAAACGGGCGGGTACAATCAGAGTTTCTCAATTTGGCAATATTTTTTTATATTTATTTATTTAGTTATTAATTCAGGGAAACTGACAATACAGTGTTCATGGCATTAATTACTATGGTCAATACAATTATTTTAGTCAAAAACAAAGGGAGTGTTTCAATCGCGTCTGGATACTCATTTGTGTATTGCGGCACAACATTTGTTACGGTTAAATACAGATACTGAAGTCAAGAAAACTAGAGAACACATCAACATACATGAAATTAAGTATCACGATGAGTTCACTCCAATATATGCTTACGAATCCATTTCTAAGTCCCGTATTTTGGTAAGTTCTCATCTATTTTCATTTAAAGTGACAGTACCCACGAGGGACGAGAACATTCCGACCTGGATATCAGCGAAAAAGAGGACACGCTTGATAAGTTGAGAAGCTATATTGGTTAGTAGAGCCTGTCTAGTCATGGCTGTGTAAGAAGTACTTTATTAGTATGTAGACGTAATCAATCATGGGGCTATAAATCTCTGCTGTATATTGCCATGCATTTAGATAACGGCTAGACTTCAAAACTGGTATAATCATTAGGGTTATACTATCGTAATTGTAAAATCACTATCATATTGCCTTAACTCGAATAGGAAAATTGTAATTTATTATTCATTTCTTTATTCGACAATCTTTGAGAGGATGGCTCCAACTGCAAATCAAAGACATATTTCTAAAGTATTTATTAAAAAGTCATATAATACTATATATGTTTAAAAGCCCATTCCCAAAATTTAGTTAGTGATTTACAATAGTCCACATAATATAAATAAATATATTGGACATGTATGTTGGCATACTTCCCCGTAATGTGTAACTGGCTGCTTATTAAATAACTGTAACTGATACGAGCTGGATTTGTGGAAAGAAAAACTAATCTTTATATGATTTTTACTAAACTAAAATTGGATGACAATTAAAAAATAACCCAAATATCTCCTTTAAAGAACCCTGAGTTGTAATTGGTGTCAAATGCAACTTCGAACACTTTCCTAATGAATACTGAACTGTACCAATTTTTAAAATCTCTTTACACTGTAGAAACCATTTGGTAAACATGACTTAAATATAATACAGTACAATTTTTTTTCCTTAAAAAAAATTGATAACACCATGCTCAGCACCAAAGTAACTTCTTTAATGATAAAGAAATATGCAATTTATTCTAATTAATTGTTTTGAGTTGCATCTAACTTTAATCTAATAACTTATGTTGCTTGTAATTTATCTAGTCAATGTTGAATCTTTGACTGTAAACAATTAAATGTGGGTTGTTCTGTGAATGGTACTGCCTATTGCTCCTTTTTCAGAGTTGGCTAGTGGAGGCCTGTTCTTATCTTGAGGTGGAAGTTGTTTTTATCTTTTCATATGTTTCCTTTCCAGAATGTCAATAAAACTTAACTGACCCATCAGAATTTGATGGGTCAGTTGTTACCAAGGTATATGCACATGTTCCACAAACATGCAATATTCTGCAGACTAACTCATATAAGGACCTGCTTCAAAAACAGAATATCAATGATGACACTGCTTGAGATCCACCCCTTAAGCCAGAAGCTCAATGCATTGTAGGACCGTCGCACAAAGAATCTTACTCTGATCCCTATGAGCACTAGACGACGCAACGCTGCCTGCTGTTTGTCGGTGGCAATCTGAACACATCAGCATTAAAAACAATCCTTTGCGTACACGTAGTATCACGTCGTCCGGCGACCATTCGGCGCAGTGAATGCCTGGCTGCAGGAACAACATCCAATTGTGGCAGACGTCTATTGACAATAAAGGTATCTTGAAATCCAAAATACCTCTACTTGTTCACCCTCAATGGACTCCCGTTGTCGCAGTATCGCCATGTCACAGTAATCCATACATTGTAATACTATTTAAAATCAAACAGTTCTTAATCATTTGCTTTCAATGGTTTCACACAAACATATGAATACTTCAATGCTTCAAGATTTAAATTATCAAATGTTCAACCTTTTAAGGTTAAACTGTTTTACTTGTTTGCTTTAAAGAATGAAAGCGCCTCTGGGTTTCAGCCTGTGACCAGCACAATTAAAAATTTAAAAATAAATAAATAAAAGAAAAAATTTTTAAAAATATATGTATATTTTAAACAGCACATTTATACACACACATTATTTAGAGTTGAGCTTCACAGATTCTCAGTAATTCTTGGTTAATACTGACAAATTTTTAAAGTAGTTTATTCTTGGAAATAGGAAATTTGTGGAGTGTATGTCAACGGAAATAATGGCAATGAATATTCCTTCAAGTTAAAACTCCTTCCTGTGACCATCGTAGTAAACTAAGCATGAACAGTGCCGTTCCTCCGGGCAATACCCCCTTTTGTGACTCATCATGCCTAGGCCTACCTAAATTCAGCCTTCACCTATAACTAGGATTTCAACTGGGGGTCGATATTTCCACACTGTTAGATTTGTTTGTACTTTTGAAGGCTTAGTGGCAGGACTGGGCTGGGAACTGCCTGGCATTATAAGTTTCAGCCCATTTGAGTGGCAATCCCGCAAAGGTGTTTCATTGGGGTCTTTAAAACTGAACCGTGGACGCTTCTCTTTGCACTGAATGCTGAACTTGAAGAGACCAGGCTGGAAGAAGGTATACTGGCAAATATGCGTCAGCGTCATTCCTACACCAAGCTGGAACAAAAATATTGTATATATTATTAGAAATTAAATTTAATGCTAATTAATGATATCATTTATACATTTAACTAGAGTTTTGTACACCCATTATTAGTTCTTTCAGATGTTTCTCGTGTCAAGCAAAATGTTTATATTATTCAGTATTACTTTTGGCCTTTGTAATTTGTCATCGTAGCATTTCTTATCATTTTAACGGGACCCCTTTGGAAACAAGCTGAAATTCTCTATAACTGTTGTTTTATGACTCTTTTAATTTCTGTACTTGTGAGAATTTCGAAATAAATCAAATAAAATCAATAAAATCATTAAATTAACGATAAACTGTGTTGAACTAATAAAGTTCACTAGCAAAATTAAATAAATAACTAAAATAAATAAAAAATAAATAATAAAAATCAATAAATTAATTAATTTAAATTTTAAACTAGTCATGTAAAGCGCTGCTGATTACGATGTACATTGTAGAAATGTGTGCTATATAAATGTTAATGTTTATGTTAACTGAGTAATTTAACATTTTATTTGAAGGTTGAATCTTTTTTTTTTTTACCGATCCTGGTGGATCGGCAAGGATTTACTTATTTTGTGTTCACAGTTATATACTCACCGATTCATCAATAATCTTGCTGCAGCCTATACATGCTACATGCTGGTCATAATGTGCTAGCCGCACACCATTCTGTTGGTCTTGAAAGGGTTCCACCAAGATACTCAAGTCATCTAGTACCTCGTCCATGTTGTTAGTCAGATTAACCCGTAACTCAATCACCTCTCCATCGCTGCATTTGATTGGATCTCCCTGGTGATCATGTGGTACGCCATTGATGGTGACGTCCCAATGGATGGGACATAGCCGGATGTTATCTATCATTGCATCTGACAGAGATATGTGCTCCACAGAGACATTTCCAGATTTTTTCTCAGAAGCATAACAGTTTTATTAAGGAAACAATTAAGTTAATGCATATACATTTCAGTCTTTTCACAAAATAGAATATAAAATTAATTTTATACTTGGTATTACACATTCCCTGGTGTAAAAGAAGGTCTCCTGGGGCAAGGGGAAGTTGCCTGAGGCACGTAGAATTTCTGAAAATGTTGATTGGACCATAATCAGCATGTATTTTTAGGGTGTTGGGTGAAAGGCCACTATAAAAAATGTTGTATATATATATTATATGTAATTTTTGATCAAATCAAAAATATAAAGAACTTTCCACTCTTTCAAATTTTATGTGACTAAATACATGTGATGGGATGAGTGTGTGGTTGTTTATTTTTATTTCAGGGTAAAAAAAAGAAAACAAAAGAAAAATGCACACGCACTACAAAAAGAATCACCGAACTTGCGAAAAACTAAAAAAATTAATTATATTCATAAATATCAAAATTCACAGGCAAATATAGATCAAAAAAACATTAGATTGAAAGGTCAAACATCTAAATACAAAAAAAACAAAAACAAAAACAAAAACGAGCATGGATAATCCTTAAAGCCCATTTTCAACTTGCGAATTTATTTGAGCGATCACAAGCGTTGGTTCATGTTCATGCGTATTTACATTTCTAATGGAGTTTTCACTTCTGAGAAATCAGTAGTTCGAACTGTTTCTACTTTCTGCGAAGCGAAAAAAATGCGCAGCCAATCAGAGCTTAGGAACCGAACCAATGCCTTTGATTCACGCTAATAAATTCGTCTAGTGGAAAACAGGATTTAAGCCTGTAGGTGTGTCCCAAGGGGACCACCATCATGCAGGCCTATACTGTATCAGGATAAATTACAGATAGTTGACAGAAAAAAATGATACTATGAACAGACCTTAATATTCTTGATGAGCTTCAACAGGATAATATAAGAATAAGCAAGATAATGTTAAATACTCAATTAGTTACTTACAACATTTGTTTTCATCCATTCTGTATGCTTTTTATTAAAAGGGACTGTATTAAGAATTATTATTACTAGTGTATCAGCTTACGATTATGACGTCATATCTGGATGGGTGCCTTAGGATAAGCTGGCAGATCATCGTAAGCTGACATACAGTACCAGTTTGAGAAAGTATCCATATTGAATGTGAAACATCACAGATCTCTAGTCATACTAACTGAATTATTAACATGAACACTATCTTACTTAATAAATATAATGCTGTGAAAATTAAGAAGCTGAGAGTAACAAAATATTCAGGTACTTTTCAGACAGCATCTGGTCATAGTAGAATTCTATATTTTTTTATGTTAATGTCACTATCATTATAAAATTAGTATCTCTTGATTAGCCTTGCCAATATTTGTTTATTTTATTTTTTTTTAAACCATATTTATAGAGGGCGACCCATTCAGTATATCCTAGAAGGTCGGCTAAAATTTAATATGCCTTGTCAGCAGTCTTATCTTGAGGCTTAAGAAATGGAGATGTTTTTTTTTTTGTCATGAGAAAAAATTCTGGGCTGTCACAGGATTTGAAACCAGGACCCTGAGATTGGAAGGCAAACATCTTAACCACTAAGCTATATCTCCACTTGTATAAATATATATGGGCCTTTACAAAGAGAAATGTACTGGAAAAAGCCTATGTTAATTTTTCAAAAATAGCAATTGACAAAAGAACACATTCAGAATTGGACTTCAACGAATACTGGATTTAGATATAAATTGGAATCAAAATGCACATAATAAGCATTACCATTATTATCACTTCTTGAGGCAATGACCCTAGGGATGTGTGAAAAATTAACTTTTAATGAGTAATGTTGCATTTCACGTCTTCAGTGCTTCATCCTTTGTCACATAGTGTCTTTCAATACTCGTTTCATCAATAATTAACCTTTGTAAATCGATATGATGTAAAGAGCCTCAAGGTTACATATTATATGCAGAATACTTTATGTAATAAAAACTCAATTGAAATGTATTAGTTGGCTGGTAAGATGACAAGTGAAAACTAAAATAAATAATAATATACACAGGCCATAGCAGATGTAACTATCATTATTATTGTGCTATTTCCAGAGAATGCACAGTGCAAAATAAAGTGTGTCACATAAAATAGAAAAACAAAAATACATAGTGTTTCTGATGCAGTTGTAGTGAATTGGGCAGTACAACAACATGCGACAATCTCCCACTCATATTCGAAGAGTTTACAGCATCACTTAACATTTATGCATGTCTTTAACCATTATTATTATTAGAAATATAAATATTGTGTATCATGATGTCTGCTGTGTAAAATATTTCTTAAATATTATGAGACTTGCATGATATATAGAATATAAAGTCAATACATAAAAAGGATATTATAGACCATGAAATGTTGATAAGCATAGCAAGCTGCTGGGCATACAGCCTGTCAAGCTTCACCTCTTCCAGAGGTGTGGCTACACACCCTGGCTTCGGGGTGACTGGAGATGGTGGCTTAGGCCTTGTAATCGTAAATCTGTCTACCAAAATTGCTATCCTAAACATAAAATGAAATTAATCTTATTATCATAGAGGGCAGTCTATGTATTTTACTTTTCAATCATGCTCAGAAAATAAAAAAATACGAAGATATCATGAGCTGAGCATTTGGCCAAGAGGTAATGCTTCTTGTGCTAAAGATCCCGGTTATAACCCGTAGGTTTTAAAATTGAGTTAGATCGTTCTGCTCATACAATAGCACTCACATAAGACAGGATGCGGGACAATGTATGTTACATGTTGTTACTGGCATTGCAGGTTTCCAGGGGCTCAGCCAAAATCTCCAATCCAATTTCAAATATTTTAAATTGGACAAAAAAAACCAAAATTTATTTTTTTACTATTAGCATTGTTGCGTTATCTCGAGCTAACTAAGCAAGACAAAAACTAGAAGACCATACCTCAATTACAAATTATATTTTATCAGTCTTCAAATAATTTTTCTATTGCAAAAATATTGTTATAAAAATTGATCATACTATAAAATAATATTTAAAAACAATGTTAACTGTGGATAAATCTTCATTGGTTTTAACATTAAAAGAAAAAGTAAGCATATTGGTTTTACACAAAAGAATATGTTTGTATCAATATTAATCTGTATAACAGTATTATAAATAAATCAAACTATTCTTGTATGTAATCCAATATTTTACACACACTATGACATTTTGATGCATTAGCAACAATATTAAGAAAATTAATTGCCAACGGATCAAAATCTTACAAGTACATACAAAGAGTTGGTTTACACACAAAAATAGTTTGAATTCATTTACAAAACAGAGACCAGATAAAACTGTACAATAATATTAATAACAGTAACAACAGCAACAATAACAATGACAAGTATTACTATACCTTTTGCTCTGCTTATGTGATAAGATCATACTTTGATCACTACCATATTGCACATGTACTTCATTGCATGTTCCATTTAAGAAATCTAACACCAAGTAAAACTGTCTTGGACTGCAACAAAAAAAAAACTACTTTATGAAATGATGCCACTAAATGTAATGTAATATTTGCTATACAAATCCATATATTATTATTGTTGTTATTATTATTATTATTATTATTTTTTTTTTTTTTTAAGGGGAACTTAGACAATGGAGAAATTAGAGAATATAAAAAAATCGACATTAAGGGAAAAATAACACCAAGATTTTCCATGTCCGACTTAGCGCATATTATTATTATTATTATTATTATTATTATTATTATTATTATTATTATTATTATCATCATCATTACAATTATTGTTGTTAATATTATTATTATTATTAGATTAGTCACTTGAATCAAATTTATCAATAAAAACATTTTTCAAATGGTTGTTTAATGGAGGAAACCAGAGCACTGGGGCTTAGAAACTGGGGTACAGCCCTGTCTTTGGTGTCTTTTTACCATTCTTTGAAATCCTAAGCATGCCCCTTGTAATCTTTTGCTACAATTCAAATTAAAAACTCTTTCAGCATTAAAAGAAGTTTTCAAAACCCTCATGAGCAAAAGTGGGTATTCCTGGGCCTTTGCGCGCAAAAAAGGCACTTAGGTTTCTTAAGAGTACCTAAAAGCACTCTCTTGATATGCCACTCTTTGCTCGGCATGTTCCACAAATTTCTCATGACATTTCTCAACACTACCTCCAAGTCAACTAAAAACTAAATGTGTGCACATACCTTGTTGCTGGTATTGTTGTCCAATTTGTGATCATCAACGAGGGTTTCTTATGCACCTTAATTAGTAGGTTTGTTTCGCGATAATAACATTCTTTTAAACCGTCACCACCAGAATATGTCAGCTTCAACAATCCTTCAATTGTCTGCAATGTCAAAGGAAGTTTAATGTGAGTATATGAAAATAATTATCTATAAAATAAAGATGATGTGTAAATATTTCATTCATCAATTAAACTATACAATATTTTTTCAAGTTAATGTATTCTAACAACTTTGCTCTCAATTAAGCTTTCTTGCTGCCACAAATAATTTTATGTAAATTATTTTTTTTTATGTGAATAAATAAACCAAAAATAAATGATGAAGATGTTGATGATGGCAATGAAGACAATAATGATAATGATGATGGAGAGATGATGATAGTCATCTTAATGATGATTATGATAATAGTGATGATGTGATAATACCATAAAAATGATAGCTTTGTTGATGATGGTTGTGACATTAAAGGAGATTAAAAGAGATGATGGTGCTGCTGACATTATGGTAATAGGAAAAAGATGATATATGCTAATACACACCTTGACTATACTATCCACTTTGTCTTGTATTCTAGATGGCTTACTGGCTTCAAGGAACGCAGTGGATACTGAGCGATTCGGTTGATTACGAGCTGGACTATTAAAATAACTACTTACAGTCGGCGTCTCTGGCATTTCTGTAAAAAACAAAAGTATATTCATTTCTTCATAAAATAAGAATATCACAATCAAGTAATAGTAACATTAAAATAATATAGGAATTACTACTGTGCCTTTTGTCAAGGAATACAAGGTGCTGATTATGTTGTTATTGTAAGTCATTGGATCTATAAATTGAAATCATGGCACAAAGTGCGACCTCCTCCAATCCTTGGGAAATATTCCTAGTGGTGCTTGTAATATAATACAAATTAGGCTAAAACATTCAATGCCACCACATCATAATCAGGTATATATTTATATTCCTGGGTGGAGATGGACAAACGCAGGTAAAGTGCCTTGCACGAAGACACAAGTAAAATTATAAGAAAGGGTTCAAACTCTTGACCTCAAGGTTGAGAGACTGAAATGCAACCACTGGACGAAACACTCAAAATTAAGTAATATACTGTAGTTGTTATGAATGCTTGCAGTAATTTGGTGATTTTTTTTCTCCTAATTTTTGTCTCCATTGAATCTAATTACTCAAGGGTATGTGATGAAAGCATCTTTTCTGTGCTTCTCTATCAGTGGTATTTCTAGGAGTTTTGAAATGGGAGGATCCTTAACTGTTTGAGCTTGAGATTTTTTTTTTTTGGGGGGGAGGGGGCATGCTCCCAGCGCACCCCCTAGATACGCCACTGTTCTCTCTGCGCATGAAACCAATAAATATTACTTACCATCATTTTGTATTGCACTTTTCAAAAGGAAATCTCCAATGGCTTTGATGTAAACTGTGAATAGTAACTTGGCTCCTGGAGCCAAAGGCAGTTGTGTCTCTATATTCTCCTCACTCCAAGTAAAACAATCCTTAGGAACGAATTCTGCAAGATTCAATACATAGTTATTTCATTTGACAAATAATGCATTCGTCCAACGGTCGTCAGCCAAAATGATTGTTTGCAGAAGGCAATGCATATAGAAGGATATTCATAGTTACACACATTATTTATTTTTGTAAAAGTAACTGTGTCTGTAAACACCTTCAAATTTAACATTCATAGTTCAATAGTTTACTGGGTACTGTATATTTTAATTATTAGCTTTTCAATTCAAAATACGAAAAAAAAATAAGCAATTTAAACACTTAGCATACTGTAGATCAGGGGTGGACATACAAATCGTTCGGAGGGCTAAAGTGAATTATTAATGTAAAACTGAGGGCCACACCCAAACTTTGATGTTTCCAGTGAGCTTCCAACAATCTCCAAGCACTGCTTTTACACCACTTTATTCTCAGTTTAATGTTACTTTTTACATATGACCGGTGCTGGGCCATAAAAATCAATGTGTTTTCTAGCCAATGTTGCCTAGCGGGCCGCACACATAGGGTTTTTAATTCATTTTCGTGGGCCGCAAAAAGTTGCTGTCAGGCCACACTTTGCCCACCTGTGCTGTAGAATAAGGATGTAGTAAAAGGTCTGTAAATCAGCAAAAAAAAAAAGGTTTTTATCTGCATCATCATAAGAATCATGATGGCAAATCAATGCTTTAATTAATTTTTGGAGGGTTTATTCAGACTTCAATATATATTATATGTCATCTTGACTAATTACAGTACCTGAATTGGTTAATTCTAGGGACACAGTCTCTACAGGAACTTTCCCTGTGTTGCTTAGAACTACTTGACATCCATAACTGAAAGAGACATATAATATTATTGAAATTGTGTAAACACCATACACATAACCGTTACATTACAGTACAAACTAGGTCATTTTGACCATTACAAAGCAGGCAGGTACTCCCAGTGTAGTGATGAAGAGTCAAGGAATTGTAGAAGCAGAAAGCAAACAAATTAAAGACTCCATCAATGACTGGCATGTTAACAATCTATGAACATGCCATCCATCATTGTCCGGTCAGATTGGGCAATTTCATGGGATTGGGATGGGTGAACCATTAAAAGGCTACCACACAGGCCCTATTGGGGTACACTGTTAAGCTTTGAGTGGAAAACACATCAAGTTTCCATTATCTTTGTTTCAATTTATTCATAAATATTCTTGAATAAAATAATAGTAGACAGAACTTCCTACATTACCTTTCTCCTTCCAACACTTGCGGCTACTCTTTCTTTCCTCTACAACCCAGAATGCCTGTGGTGCATCAGAGCCTATCATCAGACCTACCTCATCAAAGTCATAATCTTCCCATGGAAGATTGCACAAGTGTTTCCACTTGCCTAATGCCTCGACAGTGGGTCTACTGTCAGTAGAGGCAGGGATCTTGGGGACGGACAAAAGATCGATTGGTAAGCTGGATTGTTCATACTTACCTCTGACATTGATTAATTAAAACTAGACAAAGGAAGGCTATGATAGAACTAGAACAAAGAACATTATATACCCGAACAAAGAACAACATAAATATGGTATAGTAATTAAAAATAAGTAATTAAACTAAGTAATTAAAACAAGTAGACGTTCCGTCTTAGTCTACTGACTACACACATAAAGTTTCCATTATCTTTGTTTCAATTTATTAAAGAACATGTATTTACATTCATAAATATTCTTGAATAAAATAATAGTAGACAGAACTTCATACATTACCTTTCTCCTTCCAACAAGTTGATTGAGGAGGCAACAGACACTTTTCTTGATTCTGGTTTTAGACTTAGTGTACTCGCTGCCTTTGGTAATGAGGTTGTGACCTTTAACCTTGGAAGTGACGGAACTATATCAACCTGATAATATGGCTCCTTTATACTAGGTATCATCGGTAGCCTACAGTTACTTTTTATACCCATTACAGTAGTAGTGTATCCTAAAAGAAACACAAAAAATAATATGAGACTATGTGTTATGAGACCATCTCTTATGATACCATGTCTTTGGGACCAAGTCTTATGAGGTATTGTTTGTATGAGACCATGTATTATGAGACCACGTCTTATTATACCATGTCTTATGAGACCAAGTCTTATGAGGTATTATTGTATGAGGTACTATATTGTTGTATGAGACCATGTATTATGAGAACATGTCTTACATTATGAGACCAAAGTCTTATGAGGTATTGTTGTATGAGACCATGAATCATGAGATCACATCTTATGATAACCATGTCTTATAAGACCAAGTCTTATGAGGTATTGTAGTATGAGACCATATATTATGAGACCATGTCTTATATCATGTTATATAGGACCTAGTCTTATAAGGTATTGTTGTATGAGACCATGTCTTATGAGACCAAGTCTTATGAGGTATTGTGGTATGAGACCATGTATTATGAGACCATGTCTTATGATACCATTTCTTTTGAGGTATTGTTGTATGAGACCATGTATTATGAGACCATGTCTTATATCATGTTATATCAAGTCCAAGTCTTATAAGGTATTGTGGTATGAGACCATGTCTTATGAGACCAAGACTTATGAGTTATTGTTGTATGAGACCATGTATTATGAGACCATGTCATATGACACCATGTCTTATGAGACAAAGTCTTATGAAAAGATAGCATAATACATACTCCAAGTATTGAAATGCACGCCATCCTGTTGGGATTCAATATTTCAACATTAATTATGTCATCATTAATTATTTCATCATCATTCCTGATGATGACATAATTAATGTCGAAATATTGAATCCCGACACGATGGTGTGCATTTCGATACTTGGAGTATGTATTATACTATCTTATCTGATATTAATCAGTGGACCTACGGTTTTTGTAAAAGTCTTATGAGGTACTGTTTTATGAAACCATATGTTATTAAACCACATCTTACGATACTATGTCTTAAAATAAGAGATTTGATCAAAGATTTAATTTTAACAGTATAACGAGATACATACCAGTTATTTTCAATGTGCCCATCTCCTTTGGTGTTCCCATTATAGACACAAGATGTGGTCCTGATTCAGCTGGTAGGACAATAGCTGCTGGTGTAGGGTCAAAATCAACCCCTTCTGTTAGGAAGCCCTAAAATTGTAATAACAAACAAATGTACCATGTAAAATAAATTCAGAGTTGGTAATGTCTCACATGGTACCACTATCTTTTCAAAACATTTACAAAAAAAGCCCACACGAAATGTAGTATACGGAACACTTGTAAGGCATACACACTTGGCCCCATAGCTCATTTAGTATGAGTTAGTGTGACCATTAGTAATCAGCATTTGGGTTCAATTTTGATGGAAGAAATATGATTTTAACAAAAAAATTAAACAACAATTAAAATACACAGTATACTTAACCATGGATACACTTAATCACCTCAATCATTTTAAGGCTGTAGAAGATATTATTTGTACAAAGGAACAGAATATATTATTAAAATAAATACAAAAATATAAAACAAGCATTACATAATAAATTGACTATTGTATATTCAATTTAACAATTAAAATTGAAGCTTTCAAGCGATCATTTATATAATTAACTATAACATTTAAATACCAATTAATACAGCTAAATACTCACCAAGTTGGCAACACGGAGTTCAAAAGGCAAAGGGTTATAGAACTTTAATTCGACCTCACATATCTCATCAGCAACCCACTTGAAAGCTGTCATTACAAAAATAATCATAGTATTACAGTATATCAATTAAGACATTGTTCACATCCAAAATTGAGTGACACATAATACAGACTAATAATTGGTATTCAATAGTGCCAATAACTAGAGGCATCACTCCACCGATTGTATAATTAGTGTTCTCCCAATTGAAAAATTTTTACTGGTAAATTTGTCCATATAGAGCCAGCTTAGCGCACACAACTTCAGATATTTTAAGTGGATTTAAATGGCTTCAAAAAACAATAATACGTAATCATAGCTTAGGCCTGGAAAGGAATGATGTTCGTTTATTGAAAGAAGGGCAGCCTAGTCAACCTAGGCCTAATAATGTGCTTTTTTCTTCTACCAACACACAATTTTTACTGGTTGGTCAGTTATTTTTACTGGTAAAATTGACAGCTAAAACGGCTTCAGGAGAACACTGTATAATGTACCTCAACCCTGTCCCTAAGTACTGAATTTCCTTCTGTGTCTTTGTCCTTTAACCTTTTTCACCTTAAAATTTAATCATTTCTTTCTTAAACCAACTTGCACCTCTCCACTAAGTTTAATGATGATCCATTTAGTATTTACATTATTTTTATTAGCATATTTTTTCCAAATTTATGTGACCTTTTAATGACCTTTGACCCTTTCATGCAAAAATTTAATCACCTCTTCCTTACACCTATATGTACCATTCCACTAAAGTTTATGATGATCTATTCATTAGACTTTGCATAACCACTCTGTTCCTTGAATAATCCTCACATGTGAGTTAGGCAGGAGAGGGACCATGTAGGTGTCACAGGTCCCGAGGGCCCAGCCAAAATTTCCAATTTCAAATATTTGGAATTGGACAAATATTGACTATTTAATCTTTTTTCTAACAAACAGATAAACTTTGGTGAATAAATAACCTTCTTTGCAGAGGTTGTAATAATCGACCACCATTCTAATGATGCTATATCCAGTTGTACTACAGCATATGTCAAGTACTGATTTTGAATACTTACGAACTTTGGTTGGTGGTAGCTTCTTATTCCTGTTCAACGACTGAAGAGGCGAGTAGATAAAGGGGCTCTTAAATACTGGAGACTTACAGCTGGGACTTTCTACTAGGATATGGACAGGATCTAAGTGCAGTGACAAACGAATTAATTTGAATGACCTGCAAGAAAAGAATCAAAAGTCCAAAATTTTTAGGGTATCATTTTATCTATAGATTTCTTCTAGTAAAATAAATATAACATAATAAATAACATAATAAATAATATTTAAAAAAAAATTATATAGTGCCTATTTAATTTTTTTTAATTTAGGCCAGTGCCCTAGGATTGAGAGGCCAGCACTAAGATACAGTGCTACTTACAACTTATGTAGCTATTATAAAGAGTATAGGCTCAATCTATAAAAGCACCACTTATAAGTAAATTTGTATGGTATATTTGAAGACATGTTACCTAAGAGCTGGAAATTTTGTGAAAGGTACAGGAGGAATTAGGAGACCGTTGTCGAGTGAAATGCCATCCGATGTGCTTGGTACTTTTGATGTGTAGCTCTCTAACATCCCAGCTAAATCTCGCTTGTCTACCGTGGACAGATGATCACCCAGACAATGAAGAATAAAACACATGTACCTGCAGGAGAACAAGAATAAATAGCTGACAGTAAAACACAATTTTAAAACAAGTTCTCGTGATCTCAAAAGCTCCAATGAGGGCATTATAATAGAAGCAGTAGAGTATATTGACTCTAGCAGCCGCCCATACAAAAAAGATCTATTAATCAATCAGATTAATGAGCTGAGTGTTTCCAGAGCTCCTCATCAGAGCTAAAAATACTGTAATCAAATTAGTGTTTTCAATAAGCCCATTATTTTAATAGGCCTAATGTTATAACTAGAGCACACTCCAACTGTGTATACCTCCGCCCACATCATAATTCCCCAACCCCACCTAATATAAAATTAAATCGCATGTTTTCTTTTTGAAAGAAATAAATAATGAAAACAGAATCTCAACCTCCACCAGGGTTCAAACCCGGGACCTGTCACTTACAAAGCAAACGTCATAAGCAACTAGACAACTACAGTAATACTTTTTAGTTATGCGCGATCGGGTAGCCACTTAGAGCCTTCAATCATTGTTCCTTGGAGCATGGGATCGCGGCAAACCATTCTGAAAGTCCTATTCATATCCACTGATAAGTTTTTAAGATATTTAGGTCTGTAACGTTCCATTGCAAGGGTATGCACATGCAACTCCAGAATGTCACCAAAATTGCATACTTTTTCCTTGGCAATGACTGTACATTCCAGAAAGGAATGTGAAGTTCTAGGTCTGTGAATTTCCCTTTAAATGGTCCTCATATCCACACCATACTCCAAAATTTAATCATTTCTTTCTTGGAAAAGGACAAACCATTCCAAAAGGTTTCATTCAGATTCCTTTGATCAGTTTTTTAGATTTTTAGGTCTGGGATATTAGCACTTAAATGATCCCCAAATCCACATCGAAAGCCTTCCCTAGACATAACTTTCGAATTAACACTGCAGCACTTACTCAAGATTTTAATACACTAAACATTGTGCTTTTTAATGCAGAGTACAACCAAGGAGGAACTAGTTAAATTCCTCAATGGTACAACTTACCTTGATGTTTTGTATCATCAAAAAACTAATAAAAAACCAATTTTTTAACTTCCATTATACCTATCACACAATACCATTTTTACACTCAATTAATTTGAAATAAACGCTGCATAAAGCCTCCAAAAAAATGTTTTTTAAGCACAACCATGTTTATTTGGTACTTTACTGTTCAACAACGACAAAATATAGCGTACTGTAATAGTAATAACAATAATTTAATTCTATTAATAATCTAATGATATTTAAAACATATCTAGAACAACATCAACAACAGTAAAAATAATAATTTATAAATATTAATAATAAAATAATAATATCATTATAATTTTAAACAATTATGTATAATCAATAACATCAGTAAACAAATACAATATATTAGTTTCTTAATGTAACATTATAATAAAAGAAAAATTCTCTATAGAAGAGAGAATTGCTTGGAACAAGATCTATTTTTCGACTGGCTGCCCAAGATGTAAATGTTTATCACTATCGCACATTATAGCTCTTAAATTACACCTCTTCCTGTTTGCAACTAATTGTAATTTCATTTACATGTTGCCACCGATCTTTTCCCAGGAGACGCTAACCAATCAATGCCACGAGACGCTAACCAATCAATGCCATGTTACAATAACAGAATCTCTAATAACAAGCAAATGTGAAATCTAACACCGTATTGCTGCTAAATGTAAACTACCTAAATATATCTTGTTATTTTTAGTCTGATCTCTTCAATCAATGTATGATTTATAATGCAAAAAGTAAACACGTCAAGGAATGAAATATAACAGTTAAGAAGACATGCCAAATAATTTCAGTAATGATACATTACACTAAGTCAAGGAGTTATTAATTACTGTTTATGAATATAAATATTTAGAAAAATTATGACCAGTAATACTAAATAATCTTTTAAAAGTATTAAGCTTATGTCACATCATTTTTAACATAGGGCATTTTAATCCTCTATCAGTGGCTTCTCTTTAAAATTGATATACAATTAAAAGATTTACAAAATTATACTAGTGATCGTTAGCTTCATATTCAGTGAAATTTAAAAATAACATGTTTATAACAAATTTTAATTTGGTTTTATAAAATAATTAATATATTATTACCTTATAGCTATTTCAGCCTTTCCCATTTTGCGAGCTGTAAACGCTAATTCCTGCATTATGCGCTGTTGAAGGTCAGGCCAACCATTTGCCTTCTTGCCCGTGAACTCTCGGGGATCAAGTGTTATCCGATACCCTTTCATTGTGTCTAATAGCATTGTGTGGCACTGGCGATATAGAACAAAGTTACAGCATTATCAACACAGGGATGCTTATATTTTCAAAAGGCATTAAAAGTAGTTCAATTTTAGCACAAATTCATTGTGAAGTCAGCACACTGGACAGGTGACACTATGAATGTCGCAGATGGGAGCCCATATTAATGCGGGCAGTGGGAGGGGGTCTGAAATCCATATGACTAAGTTTATTTTTTCATCACACATTTTTACAATAAAAACAATATTCATCAAGCAAAAGACAGACTCACATGTCCCCAGGCTGGAGATGTATTGTTTGGTGAAACGCACTGCATAGCAGCCACACGCTTGAAAAATGATGCCTTGCGTGTGAAGCCTATCTCAGAAAACAAATGCGAGAGGGCGTTGTAGCGTTCCACCTTCTCACTATCCGATAAATTTAAGTTGATGTAGACAACGTTCTGTAGAAATTCAGCAGCTTCAAGTTTCTTCTACAAGATTTTGTTGGAATGAACGAATATTTTGATAACTACATAAAAAATTAGTCAAAAATAGTTCCCTGTTGGGGTCGAAAATTCAATTCATGATAACCAACACTTTTTTCTGTCACACTGAATTTTATTATTTATTTATTAATGAGAGTGGTTTTAGATTTTTTCACATAGTGAATGTAGGAAAAACATTTGTAACAATAAAATAATATTATAAATTAGTTTTAAATAGTACTGCCTTATTTTTAGTTTTAGGTAAATATATGAGACTACTAATTGCTTTATAATAATTTAATTTTTTCAAAAAAATTCCGATGAAACACAAAAAATATCAACAAACAAAACCCTAACAACAAAATCAACATAAAACCATTATTTACTGCACAATGTTGTTGTGATGAAATGTAACACACTTGAAACAAACTATACAACATGCAATGAGTATCAACAGACAAAACACCGAAAACATAATTAACAACAATTAAAACAGACATTATTCTGGTCACAGAATTCCTAGTGAAAATTAAACCATATTAGTAAATAACAATAACAAAAAAATTACTTAATTTGTCTGTATGAAAATACACTGGTTTACTACTATATACTCTGCAATTGATGTAGTTTGCGTACTGAATTACAGTATATCAAGTTAAAGTGCTACCAGTGTTTCATTTTTTTATAATCATTGTAAATATATATTTTTTAATAAATGCTTAAATCTATATGAATAATGATAATAGTATTTTAAACATATAAAAAAAACAAGTGAAATATATAAAACATATCTACAGTATATACTGGATATAAGTTTATGTATAAACAAATGTATTTTTTATTGTATTTGAAAATGGACACATTGATTTAATTCTCACCCTTTATCACTCAAACTGCATTAGAAAATAAACAATGTGTGTTTTAGTTAGTTTTATGCTTTTAACAATATGCAGAGTTTACACTCAACTCTATTTTCAGAATTTTTACAACAAAAAAAACATGCCAAAAATAAATTATACTCAGGTTTAATCACATGTCATGCAACAGATTAGGAGTAACTCATAATACAAAGTTTCATTCATATGCAAATCAGCTGTTTTTACAGGTGTTTATGGATATTCAATCCATGTTTCTGCAGCTTTTATCATTCAACAAAATAATCTGAAAATTATCCGATAAATATTGCCTAACAGTGAGTGGAAATTAACTGACTCAACAGATATCAGTAATTTCTTTACCCTGTGAAGTTTCTTGATAAATTTTTCAAAGTGATAATTTTATATGACCCTTGACTAGGTCAACATTTCATTATGACCTTGCACAAAGCCTATCAATAAAATTTTCTTAGCTGCCACATCAAACAATTGTATGCACACAGTTTTCATTACTGTATAAAGTGCCTATAAAATGGCATGAAAAAAAACATCTCAACATTACAAATATAGCCACTAATAATCATCATCATCATCATCTTTTGTAGTCTTTATTTTCCCCACATGCGAGGGTTAGACTGTTGGGAGGCTGTGTAGTTAGCTGTAAGGTGGCTGTATCTTGTGAGACCAGGTGGTACGATCTGCAGCAACTTCTGGGTTGAGATTTAACCTGGGAAGGTCCCCTCTCACAGCATCCTGCCATGACTTAAGTGGGCAACCTCGTGAACGAGGTCCGTCAACATCAAATTCTGTGATCTGCCTTGGCCACTAATGACCAAGTTTATTGCAAAAGATGTGAACAAAGGCTTGAGGGAAATTCAATCCATTCTGGTAAAAAGGCATCATTTGTGCAGATGCTATATGGGCCTGAATGCAATCTTACTTCCAGTAACACTGCATTATGGTCTACATATTGATTTTGTATGTGCAAATTGGGCTTTTTAAATTGAATAATTGTTTATCGGATAATTTCCAGTCGAATGGGGTGGCAATAAACAGTTAAATTAATAAATTACTAAAAAAAATTGTAAAACAAAAATAATTCTACAAGATTTTAACAAGTTTTAATGAGTTGAACAGTCCAACCAAAAGGTAACCATTCCATCAAGTCATTAGTAAAAACAATCAACAACTTTGAAAACATGGGTAGACTACCTTGTCATTACCTATACCGGATTTGTTCTGCAGCAAATTAGAGATCAAAAGAGTACAGATTTACAATAATGAAATATCAGAAACGCACCTTACGCCAACTGTTTATGGCGGCCACATTCTTTTGAATCTCTACATTGCCTTAAAAGATGTAGTTCAAGTAGCATGGGCCTCTTTGCTAATATGGACAGGGATCTTGAGAAAGCTTTAAGGCTTTCTGGATATGCCCTGTAGTCTTTCAAGATAACCTGAAATTTCATAATCTACCCTATTTTTTCTGAGTTATGATGGTTCATGCCTAACACACCTCCTAACACTTTTTGATTATGCACAATACCGCTGCTTAGGAAGATTTAAACGAGTCACATTGTTCAAACTTGTCTGTGTTCCTTCAGCAAAAACAGCATAGTTATTTATTTTTAGGCATAATTTGAACAAAAATCTCTGAGGGCATTTTATAAATTTGGATAATATTTATCTCGGTTGCTAATGCATATAAGATGACACCACAACTACATTTTTTCATGTTATGAATAATTTTCATTCTATAATTATCTACTTAGTCAACGTTATTTACATTTTATGAAGAACACACTGAAATGGTGATAGCATTCTCATGCACAAAATGCTGAAAGAATTTTCTTTCTGATCATAAAAACTGTTATGCAAAGATACTTCAAACGACTCATTGATGAAGATAGCTAATATTTGGTTGCATAGTAACAGGTTCATTTCCTAATAATGCAATATAAATTATGTTGAAGAGTACAACATTAGCAAAAAAGTGAGTTCTACTTATAGATTTAATTGATCATACCTGTTGCATAATGATCACCTGAGTGGCTTTGATACTGGCCTCCATCTCAACAATGCCTGCATGCTTATACTGAATTGCAGAACAAAAAAAATGGTAACAAAGAGATTAATATTTATTCATCGTATAACTATAATAAAATAGTGAGGATTATCATGATTATGATGAATATTATTAATATTATTACTCTTATTATTAAATATATTATTACTATTATTACATGATGATGACAACATGATGATAAGATGATGATTATGATAAGATGATAATACAGTATGATGATGATGATATTTATGATATGATGATGAAATGATATTGAGATGATGATAAATGATGCCATTAAATTAAAGATTATAATATGGTAATGCAAGCTATAAAAATGCTATGTTATTTATTTACAGTAGAAAATAAATCAGAACGTAATAGTAAAAAAGTTACTCACTTTACTATAGTGCATGATGGCCTCTTTATATTTATCTACAATATCATCAGCAGGGAAACAGAGCTTTTGCTTATCATCAGATCCGTCATCTTTTAGACCATTTGATGGAAGTGTAGAAGCTAAAAACATTTAATGTTTGTAAATTTAACAAACATTTATCTACATGTCATATTTAACTACTATTATCACTACAGCAAAAAAAATGTTTATTATCATCATCAGATGGCAGTACTGACAGTATAACCATACAGTCAGAAAGGAATGGTTAACATCTTCAATTTCATTTTTATTGTTCTAAGGAAAGAATCATCATTACTGTTATCACAATTATCTTCATTGTCATCATCATCATCATCACTTTAGATGGTAGTAGATCTTATAACCATTAAGTCAGAGAGGAATGGTTTGTTTGCATGTTCATTCAAATAAATGTACTGTATTACTAGAATCTTCCATCTGACAGTTTTATTTGTTTGACTGCTCATTTTATTTCCTCTCTGAAAATGTATACATTTATGGTACCGTGGATGGGTATTAAACAAAAAGACAGTAACTCTGAAAAGAACCATTTTGAGATTCAACATTTCAATCTATTTGATCCTTATCAAGAGTACTGATGAAAAAATCTCACCCATCGATATATTTACAATATTTACAGAAGTATAACAAAAAGTAATTAAAAACCGACCAATCAGATTAAAAAAAACTATACTTCGCAATATATTATGGTTTGAAAGTGTCATGAAAATGTGTTACAATTGCAAAAATCACTATTTAATGCATGAAGGTTGTATGCAAGATCTTATTAGATGTTTCATTGCACATAATTATATCAGATCCCTCTTAACCAAAACATACAGCACCTTTGTGGTGTATCTTCACATGTTCATGTTTCATCGTCATGCCGCCAGTGAAGGATGAGTTTCGTGGTAGGTTTACCTTCCTTAGGCTTGAAGGATACAACATTATAACTGAGGCAGCACACATCCCTTCAATTGTTGCTGTGAGGAAAAATAATGTGTTATTCATATTAGAACCCCTCTTTTGTGACACCCCTATTAAGGGGACACTTTTTCGGTCAGGATACGATGATAAGTATATCGTTTAACACTACGGCCAACCCCTACAGTATTCAGGGGACACGCCCATTAAGGGGACATTTTTTTTGGTCCCGAAGGTGTCCCCTAAGTAGGAGTTCAACTGTATTCAAAAAAACATCATTTGATTTTTTAAAATATAGTGTTATACTTACTGTATAACTATAATTCAGCATTTTTTTATTTCCCTACTTCAGGTACTTCCCTTGTAATTTCTCTTTATTAATTGTTAAATTTTTAAATAAAAATGTATTCATTGTAGAGTATATTTTCATTTTAGCCAAGTCATTTTTGTAAAAGCACTGTTTTTTACCAACTCTGGTACACTTCTGATACTAATATGTACAGTTACTTCACTGTATTTGATTCAAAGCACATTAGAGTACATTAAAATAATGGAAATTAGATTTTATTTGATGACTTCAATAAAGGCCCTCTATGTCCGATGAAAAAGTAATTAGTCACTAACATGATGGCATGTGTTAATTGTGTTATCATACTGTACATACCTGCCATCCAGAGCCAATCATTCGCATTCTTTAAAATTTCAAATGCCACCTGGTAGTGGTTGAATGCTTCTTGGACAAGACCAGCCATCAGACTAAGGTCTGCTAAATGTTTGCGCATACGACCAACTACCCTCCTCCTGAATGACCTACACACAAGAGACAAAACATATTGGAAAAAATAAATAAATAAAAAATAAAACTTATGGCCCTAGTACATTTTAAAGTATTGTACACACATTGTAAACAGGCCTGGAGAAAACAAAATAATGAAGATAAAGAATAAATGAATATGAAAATTATCTACAGTTAAACTTGCCTTAAGTTGACTTTGCCTACAGTAACTCGAATAATTTCTAAGTCGAACTTATTTTACATGCCAAATTGTTGTGTTTTCCATTAATTAACAATCTGTAAGTCGAATTTTATCTATGCGAACAATTTTTCAACTATACTGAACTACTGATACATGACAATTAAAATAAAACAAATTATGTTTTTGATGATGATGATAATGATAATGATGATGATGACAATGATGATATTGAATGTAGAATAAGATGACTATCAGATGATAATGATGATGATGAGTGTTGGTAATGAATATAATATATAAATGAAATTAATGATAATAATAATAATGATAAAAATGATGATAAATATGATAATTATGATAAACAATAATCTAAAAAAATGTAAAACAAAAATTCATGAAAAAAACAACCTGAACAAAAAAAATTATCTTTCTAGTTTTACCTATTTTCAGTGTCAATTCCAACCAGTAAAGGTAATGATTATATAATACAGTATATAAATGATGTTAATGATAATAATAATAATGATAAGAATGATTATAAACATGATAATTATGATAAACAATAATCCGAAATATAATGTATTAAAAAAAATTCATGAAAAAAACAAAATACCCTGGACAAAATAATGATCTTTCTAGTTTTACCTAGTTTCAGTGTCAATTCCAACCATATCCTTGCGCTCAAACGGTGCAATTAACAATGGAAGTTTATCATTCCTATCATTAAGCCTCTCAAGTCTTTTGGACTCCAATATCCAGAACAACGAGCAAGCAAAGTCCTTTACACAGTCTTCAAGTTGCTGCGAGTCCTCAAAGCTTGGGAAGTACACCACACCCGGCCGTTCACCTGACACAGATTCTGCAGCAGTTTCCGCAGTCATTCCAAATATAAAACAACGAGAATCAAACAAAGTCGACTTATAACCATCCTTCATCGTATCAAAATTAGCATAGATGCTGGCTAATTCAATTTCGGTGGTCGCTTTTCCAACACATATCAGCCCAGTGACGCGTCGATGAGCTTGGAAGTCACCCCAAGCATTGTTCTCAAGCCGCACAACACGTTTAAAACGGAGCCAAACATGTCGCTTCGATTCGGGAACCACTGTGTGATTTACCAGGCAGATACGGTCAATGATCTTATGGAAGAGGTTGCTTTTATGTGGACCAACTTGCTTTACAAGAACCAGCATACACTGGTGATCCTCTGCCTTTTGGCTGTAATCAGCAAAGCTCATCTTGGCTGTGAAATTGAGAAACGTATATATCAACATTTTATACATTCTACAAGTTAAATACAGCAATATGGGTGGTACTTTCTGCAATTCACCATGTAGTTTACAATATACTTTAAAACTGTATAATTATATACTGTAGGCAATAAATACAATAGGATGAATAGCCATAAATAGAAAACTTGCACTGCACATGTTGTTGTTGTAGTGGTGTACTGAGGTTCATTCAATTCATTTTTGTTTTTTTTTGTTTTTTTGTTTTTTTATTCGGCATCAAAACATGTACAAATATTGAAAATTTCAACATCAGATTTACCAAAAATGATGTAACAAAAACCCCAGACCTAGTCTCGATCATCCACATAATCTGACTAAAATTTTCCACATGAACACTTAATTATGGCAAGATGAAGACAAATATTAACTGGACTACAATCATATAGATGTACATGTACTGTATCATCTAGACTAACTTCTTTCCAGTGTTGAGCCAGTTGGTAAGACAGGAAATAGCTAAGTGTGAGACCAAAACCATGAATAGACCAATTAGACTCCATCTTTTTCATGTGATAATAATAATTTGCAATTTGTATAGCGCCTCTCTTTGAACCAACCTCGAGGCGCCTGACAAAAACGAAAGGAAACGGACAAGAAATTATACTATGAACCTACATAGTCTCACAGAACTCTAGAAGCCTAACCGAACCAAAACCAACTTCGCACAATTGATGGTCACTGTTACATGCTTATTTTGGCACAGGGCGCCATGTATGGAGCACATTTATATGTTATGCTTTCAAATTCGATACATTGAATTCAAAGACTAATAAATATCCTTATTCTAATTATTATAATATGATAAATATGCATATGGACTTAAAATTATTTCTTAAAAAAAGTGCAAGAAAGGCAAAAAAAAAAAAACATATTTTATTTATGTCAATTCGACAAAGGAAGCCTAGGCCAGGCATAACATATAATTAAACAAGCCTTTTGTCCAAGGGGAAATTTTACAATACAAGAGGTCATCGAATAAAACTCAAATCAATAATAAGTGCAGGTTTAACACTTCTACAAAAGAACATTTTCTTTGACACGCAAGTTATTAATACATGGAATTTTTTACCACACACTACATTTTCGACAGTCCTCATCACTAAACGTAATTCATTTAAACAATACTAAAGATTAAGACATTCACATGAATTCCAGGAGAGGAAAAGGCAGTACGAGTAAAAAAAAGCTTTTTCTTTGCCTCCCTTTTTTACTTAACTTATTAAGGTATGCATCACTTAAGGTTAGCAGCCTAGGCCAGGGCCTAGAGAGGCCTGCTCGTGGCCCCAGCTAGTCACTAGTCTACTATTATTAGGCGGCCTAGCCTAGGGCCCAAGGCCTTAGCTTAGGCCTAGCCTAGGTAGGTAGGAGGATTGGAAAAAAGGGCAGGCCAAAAAAGCAGCTGCAGAAAGTAAGTGGCAGAGAAATAAGAGGGCTAGAACAGCAACATAATGTCTTTAATGTACAATTTTAAAAAGTATTTTGTTTCAGTATCAATTATTACCTGATTAACCAGGAAGCCCGGGCAGGATATTTATTAAATTTTCACTACTTGCGGATTTCGCTCAGTTCATCGTCCATGTTTTCCTGTCCTTTGACCTTTCAATTATATTTATATTTAATAAACATATTGTATGTATCATTTTATATAGAAAACAAGACAGTTTGACAATTTTATTTCATTCAACTATCCAATTATTTTTATTAATACGTTGGCATAATTGTATCGCAAAAATAAATCAATTTAGCCTACGTGCTGAAGACGTTTTATGATGACCATGAAAAAATTAATACTGTACTGTTAAATGGCAGCAGGAATTTTGCGTCGCACAGCCAACGCGTCATACAACCAAAAACTAGGATGTGAGCGACGGGTAAAATCACCCTCAACGGCACAACGCACGCGGTCTCGCCGTTTTTCTTGTCTTCGTCTTTGTAGAGTTTCACATGATCACGGCAAACGAAAGTAAAGTAAAATGCCAAAGTTAACTCCTGATGCAAAAAATCGATTGTTGAGTGTATTGAAAGTAGCGAAATTGAGCTTTCACTTTGGGTTTATTCCATTTATTATATATCTTGGTAGGTTATTGATTAATTAGGCCGTACCTAGACCTAGGCTAGGCCTGACTGTTGTGACAAGGGCCGGGCTAGTCGCCGGCGGCGGCTGCCAGGTGTGTAATGATGAAGGGCCTAGCCTAGGCCTACCCTACCTAGTAAGTAGGCTAGTTAGGCCCATTGCTTTGCAGTGTAAGCCCGTTCTGGCGCAATGTAATGGAAAGCAAAACGGGATGCAGTGGTGCAATGTAATCGTAATCGTATAGCTTCTTGGACTAGGCTAGGCAGCAAGCGTTGAATATACCTCTCCCAGACTTTAGGTAAGGCCTGTGTGGAGGAATATATCCTCCGTGCAATAAACTAGGGCTAGAAATCTATCCGCGCATTTTGGAATATAAGGCCCAAGGGCCGATTTCAGTGCAGATTTTGCCAAAAATATGCTCTGACATAATTTTAATATATTGTTGACCAGTATATATGCAGTAGATAAGATTTTGCGCACCTATTTTTTGCACAAATTTGAGCTAGTTTTTGAGGTATCATCCACGCAATTTAAAAACTTTACAGTATGATACTGTACCTCCTCTACTATTCTACTATAGTACTACTACTACAGTACTACTTTAGGCTAGCCCCAGACTGTAATGGAGGCCTGCGCGGGGATTGTATCCTACGCGTAAAATTGTGGCAGAAATTCAAATTAGGCTTTGTCCTAAACTTAAAATATAAACAAAGTATTTTATGCAGTAACAAACCTTTCTGCACACCTATTTTCCTAGCGATTTTCCTTGCAAATTTGAACTGGTTTTTGAGGTATCATCCGCATAATTGAAAAACTTTACAGGATGGGGCTAGGCCTACTAATGCAGGGATGTTTTTATGGTGGATTGGACCACCCAACCATGACATTTTTCACCCAGTCTAAAAATAATTTCATGGCCCTCCACCCAGCATTAGGCTTTATTATCCGCTTTCCCATCCTTAACATCCACTCGTAGTATTTACAAGTTTACAAATGTTATTACCCACTGGCCACCCACTCTTATCTACCACACATTCATAGTTTTCTACAGCTACAACCCTGCTAGTGTATAGTAGTACTTAATAACAGGTATAGCATGTTGTTTTATTTGTGGCCCAACCCACATTTTCTGAAAATAAATTTTCAAATATAAATTGGCGTAAAACTGTTTACCGTATAATAGTTATTCCTCTGCACCTGCTACTACTCTATATATTTTTGTCAGGCATCCCCACCCAAGTGTTTTATCATTATTGACCGTCCCAGGGTCAATAAACAGTAATGTGATTCTTGCCATTTAAATTTTCATTTTAAATTTCAAGAACTTTATAAATGTGAATTAATATAAACATTAATTTATGATGATACAGGATTCAAAAAAGGAGGCGAACCAGGAATGCCAGAACCAAGTTTAGCCAGCTTGCTGTGGGCATAACATTGTAGATTGACTTGCTGTGCTCTAAGTTGTTTTAACTAAGGTATGTAGCATGTACAAGATATTGGTATGACCTCTGCCAAAGAGGTTATGTATTTACTGCTGTCTGTCTGTTAGCAAGATTACACAAAAACTAATAAATGGATCATCATAAAATTTGGTTGAATGGTATATAATAATCAAAAAAGGTAGAAGGTCAGGGTCATGGAAGTTTGATTTGTTACCCTGAATAAAAATAAATGAAATCGCCCCACGTATTCAGGTAGCACTTAAGGAAACAATGTGCCTGAATACAATGGGATATTCCATTATTTTCATGAGGGTATTCTGCACCACTCAAGAAAATAATGTGCCTGAATACAACTGGCGATTCCATTATTTCATTGAGAGTATGCTGCAGTTTCGCCCATTATACACGGCCGTGTATTGTTGGTACTGTCTGCACAGGGCAGAGGTATGCACTCTTTGGAATGACTGCTCTAATTTGTTTGATATTTTTGTCCTACTTATTTACCATTTTTTATTTTTTGACTACTGATCTTTTTTTTCATAATTCATTTTGCTAAAAGTAATTTATAAATCACACTAATTAATAAAGAGGTCTTTGCAAAGAATAAAGGTATCATTTATCAATTACATAACGCACAGTATTACTGTACATTACTACTAAAAAGTTACTAATGTTCTTTTTTTTTTTTAATAGATTATATCACCTGCACCAATCCACCAACCATGAAAGTTCTATTAGCATGTGATTTTGACCATACAATAATTAATGATAACTCGGACACGTGGGTCCTGCAGCTGTCATCTGACAAAGTTCCTGCCGATATTCGATCAAGATATGATATTCACGGAAGCTGGACAGATTACATGGATGAAATCTTCAAGTTTCTGCACTCTAAAGGAATCACACCAGAACAGATCATCAACCACATGCAGAAGATACCATTTGTAGATGGTATGAAAGAGCTGCTGCTGTTACAGGCACAATCACAATCTGTGGACTGTATCATATTGTCCGATTCAAATAAAATATTCATAAATTGCATTTTGGAAGCATCAGGCTTGTTAGAATCCATTGGTGCAGTCTACACGAATCCAGCTGAGTTCCAAGAAAATGGATGTTTGTCTGTTAGTCATTATCATAAGCATGGATGTCAGCTCTGCCCCGTCAACCTCTGCAAGACCGAAGTCTTGCAGAATTATCTGAAGACGTGTAGGGAAAACGGCAAGGTTTATGATGTTGTTGTTTTTGTTGGTGATGGTGGCAACGATTTCTGTCCATGTCTAAATTTGAGCGAGAGGGATGCGGTTTTTGCGAGAAAGGGTTACAGACTTGTTCGAAAAATAGAAAAATTGACATCCAATAAGAAATCAAATTTAAAACCTGAAGTGAAAATCTGGGAAAGTGGTTTTGAAATTAAGAGCCACCTAGAAAGTTTACTTAAGTAATTATATATTCAGTGGCAGGCACTATACTTCTATCACTAGGAATTTCATGTTAAACAGACTTGGAATTAATATAACTGTTCCCTGTACAGATAGGGAAATTTGGGAAATAAATATATCTACCTTTTACTTGATGTCTTTCAATGTATCATACTTTCCTTTCTACACCAAGAACAATTCTATAATACACAAGTCACCTTTTTGGTTTAGTTTATTAAGGATTTCACATACAATCATATGAACTAATATACTGTACTGTACATTTATACAATTTCAAAAACAAAAGTTTTCCTCTAATTTGTCTACATAAAATATACTTCCAAGTAAGAGAGTTGCAACCTAAACCATTGAAAATACAAACATTAAAAGAGAACTAGCAAACTGATTTTTTGTTCTAGAGGGGAATTTTGATATGCCATTAATAATATAATCAACCTTAAAATCGCTTTTTGGCAATTTCTTTTGGAGTTATAGGCCATTGAATACAATTTAATCGTGACGTCACTGGCGAAAAAGGTAACAAAAGATCGTGTAAATAAAACCGCGTAGGGTATCTGCCGCATACGATCTTTGCGTGCATGCTGTAACCATAGCTGTAATTCTTCTGTTGACAACCGCTGATGCAGTTATAGGCCTATGACTTGATATGCAAGTTACAACCATGGTTACAGCATGCACGCAAAGATCGCACGCGGCAGATACCCTACGCGGCGCTATTTACACGATCTTTTGTTACTTTTTTCGCCAGTGACGTCACAGTAAAATCGTATATAATGGCCTATAACTTAATAAACAATTACCAAAAAACGATTTTAAGGTTGGTTCTATTATTAATGGCATATCAAAAATCTCCTGTAGGACAAAAAATCATTTTGCTAGTTCTCTTTTAATTAAATGACATACTTTCCCAAGAAATCTAGTAAAAATAAAACCTATACAGTATTAAAAGAAATAAATCGTTTTAAGAAATGTGCTGAAAAAACCTAGTGTGGAAAGTTTTTAACAGAAAGAAATTCAACTGATTGTGAGTATTGCTGAGTGAAAAGTACTGTACATTCCTATAACACTGTGTTTTTCATCAACAAAATAGGTGCTACGATAGCTTTAGCTAGTCTAGAATATAATCTATTATAATTACAGAAGGCTTACTACATGTACACCAGTCTATATAAACCTAGATTTCTTCAGCCTTCCATCCTTAAAAATTAACACAATAAATACGTACAGTTAAACTTGCCTGAGTCGAATAATTTCTAAGTCGATCTAATTTTATATGCCAAGTTGTTGTGTTTTCCATTAATTAACAATCTGTAAGTCAAAGTCGAACAATTTTTCAATGGCATTTTGGATTCGACTTAGGCAAGTTCAACTGTAAATTCATCCAACTATGCTAGTTGAATATAAAAAAAAAACACCCTATAGGCACATTTATACTGTATATAGCAATTATAAGCGTAATAAATTGAATACAAAAAAAAAAGAATTCAGCACTGTAAGCATATATAAGGTGATGATTATAATTTTGTTCTTGCCTTTGAAATTTTATATGAAAAAAATAATTTAAGTTAATATATTATAACAATCATTTTTCGACTTAAAAGAATTTAATACCAAGATACACCAAACCTAGTTCTTCACCCACCACAAAATGAGTTGTGTTCTGAACAAGAAAGACTATTATAAGCCATTTTCAATTAACATTTTTGTATATAATTGAATTTTTAATGTAGTCGCAGTAGGAATTTTTTTTTTTGTCATGACTAAAAACAGCTCCACAACCTAAGCCCCAAAAAGAGACTTGTTTATAAAGCATCATTCCATCCTGCAATTGGCAAGTTATATATTGTTGGATGTGCTGTGTTTAATTCAGATGTTTTCTCCCTGTTTTACAGATTTTACTATAAAACACATAATTGTATACCAGCCAATTGAAGGGACTATCCAAAGAATATAGAAAGAGTATTTATCTGTGTGTTATTTTAAAGAGGAAATAATTTTGTGATATTTTTTACTCAAAAGCTAAGAAATGATGAGAACCAGGTTTCACAGAAACTTCAGTATCTCAATTTTGCACATGGTGCAACACAACTTAATCTGTGGGTGGATGTTCACCTTTGACATCATGTTTTTGGAACAAAACAAATTACATGAATTAGTTTGAAGCCTAGTACTGCATCTAATACCCTGTATTTATAAGCCAAAGTTAAGTTTCAAAATTAATTCAAAATGCATGTTTTTCCCCCCAAGGCCAGTTTCAGGATGTCAAACCAAATAGCAGTAAAAAGTCAAAGCAGGCCTCTGTGCCGAAGTCTGTTATTTTAAATTTTGGAGACACTACTTTTAACTGACACAGAGATGCTTTCAAATAGAACAACCAATTATTTTTTTTACATTAACTACAATTCCATGAAAATATTATAAAGTGAAAATGAATTATAAATTTTGAACCTACAGGATTATGAGTCGCATTATTTACACAACTGCCCTCTTTTGATATCCAATCAGAAAGAAATATTTATCAAAGAAAATCTGCTAGATTATAATTATAATCCACTTGAAATAACTTAAATAAAACATCCTGCCCTTCTTTGGGTTTTTACTTGTATCTATGTGGACAGCATTGTACAGTATAACATACAAGTCAAAAAAGAGATTTTCTTGAAGATCCCAATAATACTTTTCCTGCATGACGAACGAAAGGGCATGTTTCATGATGAATTTTAGCCCATTTCAGTAGTGAGTGAAATTGAGTTTAGGCTTATACTAAAACAATATCCCAACAGACCAACCCTGATTTCCAATTATCACTGCGCTTGAGACAATTTTTTTAACCTGCGTGTCCACTGATAGGAATATTAGCATACTGTAGTGAGTAAAGTGGTTCTTAAGGAAACAATCTATAGTTTTATAAGTACTCTTAAGCAATATAAATTTAATCAATATAATAATTACACCCATTATATTTCATCTCACAGAGATCAAGAATAAAAACTATCAAAATAGATATCATAAAATCACAAGAAACTAGTTTTTAAAAGGCCAAATTAAAAAAAAATTTTATGTTTCTCAATCAGGTATTTTTGTTTAAGAAGCAGAGACCACTTTTTTTCATTGTTCTCTTCACAATTAAAACAACAGTACGACAATTTAGGGTTTTCAAAGGCTTATTTAAACAATTTTAAAGCCTACTAACATGTAAAAAATACAATTTTATTCTCTCCTCAAAATTGTGGTTTTTATCCCCGGGCACTGGACCTCACTGGCACCACCCCTGGATGACCACAATATAAATACTGTACCTAGGTTTATGCCAATAGACACTCAAATTCCTGCAAGACAGGCCGGATTAAATTCAATCAGTCTCCAGCAAAAGTGTTGTTGGTTAGGGTTAGCATTATGGTACCAGGATTTTATTCCTACCCAAAACACTAGCGATTCTTTTTGGGGTGTACTGACTTAATAAACATTAGGTGTGAGTAATCAACAATCGCGCTCAATTTTTCTCTGACAGATATTTTGTTGTTGTTGTAATAGTTATGGAAAGATCACATGATATGCTTTTCTATTTGTCTTCAGATCCATGAAAATCCAGACCAGAGTTCCAGAACATCTTTGAGTATGATTACAAAATATAAAATAGTTGTTTACCCCTCCCCAACCTTTCATCCAAACCACTATCTGCAAATGATATTGGCAAAATTACACAGCATGCAGACCATAGTGACAGTCTTGTAAGTAACCAAAAGACCAAACTTATTTACAATTTTTGTGACCTCTGACATATTTCAGTAGTACACCTTTTTGTACTTTTTTTTTTTTTAAATAACTCTATCTACAGGCTTCCGAAGGTCATTCCTTAACACCTTTTCAATTGTGTCCACCTGCACTCTTTGGAGATTCAGTCCACTAGAATATCCTCAGGACATCATGTATCGCCAAAAGTTTTGCAAGAGTTTGAACATCGCTCCACCCAGAGTAGATCATCCAAGTTACTGAATCTAGTGTCTACTATTGCATTAGTCAGTCTATAATATTTCTTTCTCTCACATAATGTAAAGTGTTTTAATATTTGTTGATGCCGAATATTCTGACACGGTGAAAGAATGGCAATTTTGGTAAGATGGAAATCGTTGTAAACAAACTGTTGTAGACAAAATGAGTTGGATCGTATTTTGTGTAGAAACTGGCAGCAAAGAACCTGTAAAGAAATATAACATTATCAGTAAAGATCTAACTTGGTGGTTAAGATACATATTCATTTAAAAAATACAATAAAGCAGGGGTAAAGTATAAAGTGTAACCTTTAACTCCTATCTAAACAAATTATACTCTTATGAACTAACATCAATGTTATAACAGTTACAGTAAAATAATAATATTAACAGCCATTTGTTCCCCCTTTTATTAAACTGAACCCCTATTACTGTACATTATTGTTTTGTAATAGTATTTGCTACAGTAGACGTCTTCATATTATCATATGCTGTCTGCTTTATTCTAGTGAAAATATAATGAACTTGAGCTCGAACTTAAACTTCCTCAATTAATTTATTATTTTTGTCAACAGACATGAACAATACCTATATTCTTTGCATACATTGTTAAATTGGCAAGTAATTAATTCAAGGATTTTCGTGGAAAAACGTCTGTAAACTGGCATGAACTACAGTAAACTGTTTCAATCAGTGTATCACTGCAAGTCTCAGACTGTAACATGTTCATACTACTACTTTATTATTATGGTTATAATTGTTTTTCTGAAGTCAGTTGACCGTTGTTATCACTATGCACATCAAAATACAATAAGATATGTTAACCCCTGATGTTATGTATGTTATTGGTATAATGTAAGGGGGAGGGGGGTGTATGTGGTGGGGCGTGAAGGTGAAGTGGTGAACTCAATTATTAAGTGGGGGGAGCTTCCTTGTGAAATAAGGTGATGAGGTGATTTTTATCTACTTGAGCATGATTTTTTTGCTTCAAACATTTTCAATGGGAGAGGACTAGGGGGTGTCAGTTTAGGCGATACATGCACACTCGCACCCTCCCCTAGATATGCCACTGAGTATAGTTTATAAACGTCATAATGTGATTTGTACCATGTATCTTAGCCTGATCAGAAATTTTATGAATAATGATATATTTACATAGTCAATGTACACATTATATGAACTTTTAAAATGGACTGTTGAAAGATATAATTTAAAGACGGATAGAAGGAAAGCAACCTCAAAGAAGAAATCATGTAATAATGTTAGATGATTTGAAGGAAACAGATGAGAAATATTCAGACTTGAAGAAAATAGTGTGACACAGTCAACAATGGAGGAACGTTTGAACCTGCCGGAAGGCAGAACCCCAAGGCTGATGATATGAATATTTGATAGTGGCAGATCCAGGGCTTGTAAAAGAGGAGCTCATCCCCACATGCAGCAGCCAAAAAACCTTTGACCAAGCATGATAGTTCAAAAATGGCTAAAATTAAAATCATTCAGTGAATTTAGCCTAGCTATAGAGCCAGTGTTCTCCCCAGGCCCTTGAAACATCATGGTACCATGATGCTTTTGGGACTTTCCCCATGATGCTTGACAGCTGGCCATGATGCTTGGAACATCTTTCATGAGGCTTATAAAGTAGTCTAAAAGTGCAATTTAGGACATTTCAATGCCTTCTAATTATTAAAAATACCTTGTGTCAATCCCAACTATGGTGGACTTCAACTCTTACCATGATGCTTGCCCATGATGCTAGGGAGAACACTGAGAGCCCTCACAAGAAAAGGGTCACCTCCTCCTAAACCCTTCCCGTTTCTCTGACAATACATCCTCCAGGGCCGGCGAAACGTTTTTTTAAGTGGGGGTGGGGGCTCACTAGTAAGATGAATGGAATATGAATCAGGGGGAATCTGGGTTCAAATTTATGGGGCGGGGTTAAAAATTTTTCCCAAAAACCCTAAAAAGGAAGTGGGGTCCTGGTTCCCCAGTTTCGATGGCCATGTCCTCTACTGGTGCTTCACTACCAACCCTCATCCCAGCAGGAACATTCTGAATCCTCCACTGTTTAAACACCAATAAAACTTTCTGGAGTGGCAATCAAACTTAATAACTGACCAATCAGAACAAAGCCTGGAATATGGGCTTGTGCAGTCCCACAAACGCATGTATTTACGTACGTTTATTCTGTCCTTGTGAGGTACCTGACCTTCGCCATAATATCCATGGGGAAGCACTTAGCGGAAAGAAAGGTTCATTGACCGGGCAAGTAAGTCTTTTATTTATTTATTTTATTTATTTTTATCTTTATTTATTCAAAACAATCTCACTTCAAAGGGCAGATGACAGTTAGTTGGTACTTCTGGTAGACAATGAATCTAATAATACAGTACAATGGTTGGTTGTATAAATCTTATGAGATTTGCTACCCCCTTATTATTATTTGACTAGGTCTATTAGATCGAACCGCTTTCTTGAAGTTCAATTCCTACAATTGTTAACTTGTTTAATGAGCAACATTATTTATTTGATGTTGCTTACTAAGCAAGTAACATTAACATTTAATTTTATTTTTTAATTTTTTAAATTTTTGTTAGACCATAATCATAATTATTTCTTGAATGCAGTTTTTCTATGGGTGGTTGTTATGTGCAATAATTGTTGTGTTCCTAACTTTATTAATTTATTTTTTGATTTTGTAATGTTAGATATAATTCAATAATTAGTAATAATTCAAATTTATATATATTTATATTATGCTATACCGTATTTAGTTATCATTAATGAAATTTTTAGGTATTATAATTGAGTCTAGTAGTATATGTTTTGTCCTTTCTTGTTGCAATTTTGCATATAATATTTTTAATATTCTTACTGCATATTTTTATAAATACATTCATTTCAGCCTTTGGCTGCTGTTTGCATATTTTTCTATACCTGAATAAATAGCCTTTGGCTGCCGTTTGTATATTTTGCTATACCTGAATAAATAGCCTTTGGCTGCCCTTGTATATTTTTCTATATCTAAATAAATGAATAAAAAAGCTCTCAGTGAATATATGAATTTTCTGAATTTTTAACACTATATTGTTCCATGTTGCACACTGGGAAATGACATTTTCTAAATGCTAATAATTAATTGTAATAAATTACTCACAGCACCATGGGTACAATGGTGAAAAATTTCCTTGTTGCTGTAAACTGTTCTTCTCCATCAATTTGTTCCCACACTGTTAGGTATCTTGATTTTCCTTGATCTTCAAATAAGATTGAGCCCTTGAAATAATGAAACGAGATGTAGTTCAGCTGCAAAAGAAAAGTAGCAGAATAATTAATAAAAATACAACAGAACAATTTGACTAAATAAAACACAACAATCCGACAAAAAAATGCAAATTCGACTAAGCAGTGCAAGCCATAAGAGATAGTTGCAATCAACCAGTGCATAACTGAATAAGTATCTTTACTTTCTAATGTTTATATACTGCAGGTTATATTATATATTTTTATACTACTAAACAATTTTATCTTGCATTTTGATACCATTTAACTATATTTTATAAGTTTATTTATGTGTATGTTGAACCTTGGAAAAAGAATTTCATGCAAATATTTTAAGTGACAATAAATAGAATCTTGAACTTGAACAATAGCAACAGTAGCTGCAGCAATCTAGCACGAGCAGCAACAATAACAATAACATCAAAAAACACATCATATCATATACAAACAAGTAAAAGTATGAAGGAAAATGTACCTAAACTGTCATTGATTTTATTTACTACTAGTAGCTGACACCTATTATAAGTTTACAAGAGAAAAGTTACAAATATTAAAACAAATATTGATATATTATTCAACAATCATATGATTGTTGAATAATATATCAATCAATATTGGACCCGCTTCATGTAGTTGACTCTAAAAAGTGTGGATCTGTCATCAGTTGTCATTTTCATTTTTCATAGTTTTATAATGCTTTTGGATTCTTTCAAGCAAGTTATCATGAATGAATATTTATTAGGCTTTCATAGTGATTTTCAGAAATAAGTATATGCAGGGTTCCCATTTTATGGGGTAAAATGTCAATTAGTTTCAGGGAGGACGTGGAGGCTCAAGTGTGGAGGTTCAGACAGCCCTAATCATCATAACATGAAAATTTCACATTGCAAGTTTTGAAAGTGTATTTGGATTGATCTCTCAAAAAGTGTTTTTGGTCACAAATTGATGCAGTACTGTATGTATTTTGTTTTATAAACTTGCTTCATTATGGACTGTTCCATTATTTTCCAAAAGAAAGTGCATTAAACCCTCCATGATTAAACCAGATCTTCCTGAAAAAGTTTCTTCCAAAATTAAGACTCCTAGCAAGTAGAAACAGTTTAAAATCTATAGTAGTACTCAGTATATTATTTTATAAATGGTATGGATCTGTACCACCCAACATACTGCATAACTGACAATAATTTATTGGCACCTGGGCAAAAGTTGAGATTGGAAATAAACAAAGCTTTCATTAAACCTGTCTTGGAAAAATCAAGAGATAATTACATAATCACAAACATACTTTACTTTATCTACCCAACCATGCAACCACTTTACACTATCAATATCAATCAATTGTGTGACTGTGTCACTGTCAGTCATCCTTTGGATCTAATTATTCTATCACACAATATACTTGACAGGCTTTCATTCATGCCAATGCAATGTTAATGTTGTAGTTCATTCTACATTAAAATTCTGTCATTATTTACTGCTATTTCTACATTGTTGAATGAAAATAAATATAAACTATTCCCTATAAAAAAAAACACACGCCGCAACATCTTTAACTTATGACTTGTTATTCAAACTTATAAATTATCATATTCTTGAGGATGACCTACCATTTTCAATGCAATTCCTTTATGGTATGACACATAGATATAAAAATAATAACTGGTGTAACAATAGCCATGAATTTATTTACATTGCGGTCACAGGATTCAAATGATAAAAAGGCATTTTATACAGGAGTGCTTCACATTAGAAATGTGGAAAGTATAAAATTCATAAACCAGTGTAATATTTAAAATAAAATATAGTACTTCAAGAATGAATTTTTTTTAAAATTATTATTATACTTGAATATATTTAAAATTCAACATTCATGTAAGCCTGTCCAATAAGGCAATTTACTTAATATTATGTTTTGTTTAATATTTTGTGATGTAGTTACTATCTTTGTTTATTGCATTTGCTCTGATACAGTATGCTTCCACTTTCATTTTGTTCCACTCAACATGTCTTCTAACCATCTTAAAAATCACAACAGAAAAATTGTTCATGACGCTAAATAGAAGAAGATACTGTGTGGATTGCATGTTGCATGTTTAGCCAAGTACACAATCCCATCTTTAGTATCAAAGTCCCGTCATTAATTATTTATTTTGAGTACACATATGGTTAACACTACATCACTCAAAAAAAGAATGGAAGGTTCTTTACATTAAACAGGCATGGAAGGAAAGACATGGCACTTTACAACAAAAAGCATAATTACTGACAGTGTGAAAATATTCAATCATATTTGTATGTGTTCGATTGAAGGTGTATTCTTTACTCTTGGCTTGAAAGTAATATTATATTACAAGATAAGTGTCCTTGGAAACTATTTATAACTGTCTTTCATCGCTATTACATACCACCAGCAAAATGACCTAACTGAATTTACTGGCTACAACCATTGTTGTAGCCAGTCTTATTTCCAACATATGTAAAAAAAAAAACAATGTCAGAGTTCATAGTTCATTTGTATAGTGCAGTGATATCATCTCTGACCAAATCATGTCTATTTTACACTGACAGATTTACAGTAAATAGAAATACAGCAATGGGAATTATACTAATAGACACTTTCTCTTTATTTTCTGTTGCTTAAATTTTTAAAATATTATGCTTTACTTGATAATTTGGTAAAGCTGCCATTTTCAACTGAGTGGACTTCAAATTCTACTTAATCTAAAAACAATTCTGAACACAAATAACGACAGCAAACACACCGGCATTAACTTTTAATTTAAAGTTCATTTAAATACTGTACTGACACCATAAAAGGGCCAAAATCAATTATTGTTACCTATTATTACTAGGTAAATTTAATATTTTATGCAATTATCAATTACAGTTATTCTCCACTTTGAGAGTCAAATTTTAATCACTGTAGCATACAGAAATCTGTTTTTCGGCCCATGGACAGAATGAAAACTAATCACTGATAAATAAATAATATTGCAAATACATACCACTGCATGAACTGCGACTGTCAAGGTCCATGCTGTTCCTGAACTGAGAAACGGCATAATGAGAAACATGAGGTGTAAAGCGTACACACCAACAGCATAGGAGAACCACAGACCACGGTTATTCAGCCAATCCATACTGGGCTTCTGGGTAATATCGTTTTGTGCCATATATTCAGAGTTATTCTTGGTTTTCTAAATTTGTTACCAACTTTACAGTGGTCTATTGTCCTATAATATAAAAGAGCATTGTTAGACAACTTTTTTTAGGGAATTAATAAAATAAAAGCTTGTCTTTTTACTTAACCAGAAATATGGTATTTTCCCATTGACCTGACCTATCAAACGTACAATAAAGTGGTGTTTGGATTGGCATTTATCACATTGACCATGTATTGATCAGCTCGAACAAAAACAATCCAGTGCAAACAGGCTGTGTAACTGGCATGTGGTAAATTTAACTGAGTGAATAGGGCCCAGAAAGAAGAATGTGCAGTCCTGTATCTTCCTTACAATGTGCAGTCATCCATCATCCTCTGTATAGTCCTTCATCTTCTTTCCTATGTGCAGTCATTCATCTTCCTACAGTATGTGCAGTCATCCATCATCCTCTGCACAGTCCATCTTCTTTCCTATGTGCAGTCCTTCATCTTCCTTCCTACAGTATGTGCAGACCTTCATCTTCCTTCCTACAGTATGTGCAGACCTTCATCTTCCTTCCTACAGTATGTGCAGACCTTAGAAATCTGTTTTTCGGCCCATGGACAGAATGAAAACTAATCACTGATAAATAAATAATATTGCAAATACATACCACTGCATGAACTGCGACTGTCAAGGTCCATGCTGTTCCTGAACTGAGAAACGGCATAATGAGAAACATGAGGTGTAAAGCGTACACACCAACAGCATAGGAGAACCACAGACCACGGTTATTCAGCCAATCCATACTGGGCTTCTGGGTAATATCGTTTTGTGCCATATATTCAGAGTTATTCTTGGTTTTCTAAATTTGTTACCAACTTTACAGTGGTCTATTGTCCTATAATATGAAAGAGCATTGTTAGACAACTTTATTTAGGGAATTAATAAAATAAAAGCTTGTCTTTTTACTTAACCAGAAATATGGTATTTTCCCATTGACCTGACCTATCAAACGTACAATAAAGTGGTGTTTGGATTGGCATTTATCACATTGACCATGTATTGATCAGCTCGAACAAAAACAATCCAGTGCAAACAGGCTGTGTAACTGGCATGTGGTAAATTTAACTGAGTGAATAGGGCCCAGAAAGAAGAATGTGCAGTCCTGTATCTTCCTTACAATGTGCAGTCATCCATCATCCTCTGTATAGTCCTTCATCTTCTTTCCTATGTGCAGTCCTTCATCTTCCTACAGTATGTGCAGTCATCCATCATCCTCTGCACAGTCCATCTTCCTTCCTATGTGCAGTCCTTCATCTTCCTTCCTACAGTATGTGCAGACCTTCATCTTCCTTCCTACAGTATGTGCAGATCTTCATCTTCTTTCATCTGTGCAGTCCTTCATCTTCTTTCCTCTGTGCAGTCCTTCATCTTCCTTCCTCTGTGCAGTCCTTCATCTTCCTTCCTCTGTGCAGTCCTTCATCTTCTTTCCCTTTGTGCAGACCTTCATCTTCCATCCTACAGTATGTGCAGACCTTCATCTTCTTTCATCTGTGCAGTCCTTCATCTTCTTTCCTCTGTGCAGTCCTTCATCTTCTTTCCTCTGTGCAGTCCTTCATCTTCTTTCTTCTGTGCAGTCCTTCATCTTCTTTCCTCTGTGCAGTCCTTCATCTTCTTTCCTCTGTGCAGTCCTTCATCATCTTTCCTCTGTGCAGTCCTTCATCTTCTTTCCTCTGTGCAGTCCTTCATCTTCTTTCCTCTGTGCAGTCCTTCATCTTCTTTCCTCTGCACAGTGCTTCATCTTTTCTTTCCTCTGTGCAGACCTTCATCTTCCATCCTACAGTATGTGCAGACCTTCATCTTCTTTCATCTGTGCAGTCCTTCATCTTCTTTGCTCTGTGCAGTCCTTCATCTTCTTTCCTCTGTGCAGTCCTTCATCTTCATTTCTCTGTGCATTCCTTCATTTTCTTTTCTCTGTGCAGTCCTTCATCTTCTTTCCTCTTTGCAGTCCTTCATCTTCTTTTCTCTGTGCAGTCCATCTTATTTTCTCTGTGCAATCCTTCATACCTTAACATCATTGTGTATGCATAGTCTTCATCTTCTTTCCTCTGCGCAGTCCTTCACCTTTCTGTGTAAAATCCCCTATCTTGTTTGAAATCCTTCATCTTCATGTATGCAGTCTTACATCATCTTGTGTGCAGTCCTTCATCTTTCTGTGAGCAATCCTCCATCATCCTCTTTTCTGTGTGTAGTCAATTAATCAATCAATCAATAGCAGTCTCTATGCACTAATAAAAAAAGACCAATGAAGTGAAGCAAGCAAGCGAAGTGGGTGTGAGACCAAGTGCCATTAGGGTAGAGTCAGTGAGTGTGCTGATCTTCCACTTTTTGTTGTGCAGTCTTTCATCTTCCTGCCTGCAGTTATTTATCTGTGCTTGTCCCAAGTTATCTTATGCATTATCCGCGCAGTTGAAATACTTTACAGTACGGCTGTACTACTAGGCCTAGATAGGAGTAGTAAAGTCTACTCCTGTATACAGTTGGTTAACTAAGGCTTGGGAAACCAAGTGTTGAACACAATTATTGTTTGGTAAATTTTTGTTAACTGTAGGCCTAGGCTAGGTCTTTTTTAGGCCTAGGATAGCCTAGGCCCTATAGGTTATATTTTATAGGCCTACACTAAAATCTTAGCTTTTAGCAATTTAGTGTTACAATTATAATAGGCCTAGTTAGGAAGGCTAGGCCTAGGCCAGCCTAGCTAGGCTAGATTACCCGAGCCGAGGCTTAACGGAAGGACGAAGAAGAAGCGAAGGTCACACACAATCACTTCAGATTGATGACAGCTTCGGTTAACTTTCTACATGCTACACCTAGCTAGGCATAATGATAGACCTAGGATGTGTAGGCCTAGGCTAGGCTAGGGAGTATGCTGCTAACTAATGCTATCTCGGCTTCTAGCTAGGGCCGACTAGGCCTAGGTCTAGTTAGGCCGGGTGGTAGTGAACACGCACACGCAAGCGTTGCCAAAAGGTTGAACATAAAATGACTTCCGGAAGTTAGTGCAAACACATTTTAATAATACTCTCCATGAAGGAACACCACTAATAAAGACCATACATAAGCGATATCAGTTGGGTAAAAAGAGACTTTTTACCACTTAGGCCTACCTAGGAAACGTTATCTTTAAAGTCCTATTTACCTTTCGTCCCCGGTATAAATACTGAGTGCCGTATCAACGATCACATCGAAAAGTAGATTTTAATTCGTTCCATCACATATCATCCGTCAACTCTCGTCAATTTGCGTCAACAGCGTCAAATTGACGCCATCTCAAGTCAATGTAACCCATAGAGCTATTAAACAACTAGAGTGCTGACAAGATGGCGCAGCAATGCAGAGTTATGTATGTACACCATCCAAGATGGCCGTCGTAGTAAAGCGCCACCTTCAGGCTTAGTATACATATTATATATTAATAAGCCCTCTGACTGACTATTATTTCATTAATGATAATGAGTAATGGTAATAACAAATTATTAAACTATTGTAGCCAAAACCAGGCCAAGTGGAGCATCTTATTCAAAAATAAAGAACCAAGGAATTAAAATTAAAATCGTGTACATTACACCCAAACACCGCAACGCTCGAGTTTCAAACATACGGGTAACTAGCTGTATTGAACTTGCTGAGTAAATTGAGGGCGCAATTGCAAACGATGGTGCTTAGCGAAATTTGATTGGCTAAATTTATGGCAGCCATCTTGGATGGTACACACACACACACACACACACACACACACAGACACACAGACACAGTTCTGCGTATTTCGAACATCGAATACATTTCGGTTAGCGCTCTAGTATTCTTATTATGTTTCTATGATGTAACCTGAGACAACTGGATGTATATACGTCAACTCGCGCGTCAACAGTTCACCCCGTGAACACACTTCTCAACAAACGTCAACATCCGTCAACTCACGTCAACCTTCCATCAGTACCGGTACCGGTACCTGTACAGTTTTACTAATACGGTACGGTAAAATCATTTTGTAAACCTTTTCCAGTGGATAAAAGCGCTAGGAAAATGTAAAAAGGAATGAAAACAAGTAGGTTTTCTTATTCTTTTTAAATCTTGAACAGATAAAGAGTTCCTTCATACCAGTGGCGTATACAAGGGGCCCCCACAAAAAGCTTGCCCCCCCCCCCTCTCCTTTGAAAACATAGACACCTCTAATCAGGGGACACTTTTCCATGAACAAGACAAACTATATACAATAAGTGTGTTCACATAAATTATTCTAAAACTGTTGGTATGATTCGATGCCTCGAAAGGTCTAGCACAGTAATTTTCCTGGTGCATGCAGAATTGTTGATGTAAGCCTATTTAAAATAAAACTCTATATTGTTAAAACAATCCGGTAATTTTAATTAAGGCAAAAAATCGTAATCGACAATAAAAGTTTCGTTTTGTTTATTATGGTATTATCTCACTTCTTAAATACTGCGTTCAAGAGATATACTTTAACATATCTGTCACGATTAACGTGTATTCTGGAATCTAAGAAGCAATATTTTTCAGTGGGCGTGGCCACCGAAAATAAATTCCACTCCCCCCTCATATTTTGGTCGGTTCGGTTTGGTTGGTTCAGTTTTGATGCATGAATCCCGTTCTTGTTTTATTGCTACCCTAATGGTGCATCATCTTGGATTTAGTACTACATTATTTAAAATCTAAAAATGTGTACTGTATGGCCATATAGCCGAGTTATTTTCTTTTTTAGTCAACAAAAATTAAACTGATAGGCATATTCCAATTTGAAGGGGTCCTTTGTAATTGACAACTAAACTTGTCCCCAACTTTCTCGGCCCGTGGGCCCATGACTCGTCGTTACGCTTCCTGAATTTCCGGTTGATGGGATGGATGGAGAGTGTGTCACAAAGACAGAGCTTTCTTAAAGATAACTAAGAAAAGTATTAGAGATAAGAAAAGTATTAGAAAGTTTGTTTCTTTCACACCTTAGAAGGTTTTTTCGTTACTCACCTACACTCGGCTAACATCACATCAATTTTCATCTACTACCTGAAGGCCAAGTGTCAGCTTGGCCACTTTGAGCAATACTTCAAATGTTTATTTTTAAATTTGTCATAATTTACTTGCCAATTGAACTCAGTTTGCCAAGACAAAACTTCAAAAAAATTGGCCGACGATCATTGATAGGCGACGGCTCTCTTAAAGCCTTCAACCCCGCCGCGCCACACCTCAACAGTGGATTAGCAAGAGGTTTTGGCACCCGGGGGAAAAGATTAGAAAATTGCACCCCCCGCCCCCTTCTCTCAATTATGATTATAATATTGTGAAATAAATTGATATTGGTTGTACAGGCTTTAAGCATCCGTACGGTACCGTACGTCCGTATCAACACTGTAAAAATAAGCACTGTTCTAGCTCTCATAGGTTCTTTCTTACCAGGGGTGGCGTCAGGATTTACCCGACGAGGGGGAAGGGCGATTCCCCCAACGAGGGGGAAGATTTCCCTGACGAGAGCAATGTGGGCGTGGTCGAGCGTCGCTTAAAATGTTCCGAAAATGGTCTAGGGAGGCTAAGCCCCCGAAAATGGTTGACATGGGTTTCAAAGGCTTATTTAATCGATTTTAGTCTCCTATATGTACAAAATACATAGGCCTATAATTTTTCTTTTCTCCCCGACGAATTATGGTTTTTCTCTCCGCCGGGCGGGTTCAGGTGGGGGTGGGGTGAAGGAGCTATATTCATGCCTGACGACATACATCAATTTCGTCGTGCTTTTCTAAAAAGTGGTTATTTTTTACTCTCATTCTCCCATTTCAGCGCCCCCAAACCTGGCGCCCGGGGCACGTACCCCCGTTACCCCTCCCCTTCCCTAGCTATTAGCTACGCCACTGTACCTCAAACAGTCTGACATTGTATTTAATTGAAATAGAGTACCGGGTAGGCTGCAAGAAGATAAGAGTTCTGCAGTGTCTTGTTTCTCACATTTCCGTTTTTCTCACAGACCATTTTCCCCTTCATTTCTACAATTCTAAAGTTACCAAATTCAATTCAATTCATATACTTATTTGAAATTTCAAACCTATAAAATAGAAAAACGAAACAAAATAAAAATATAGTAGGCCTATAATTTAATAATATAAAATAAAGTATAGAGATAGAGAATGCAAACATAGTTTCTAATCCATTTAGAAATCATTTTACTCAAAAGCCGTGTATTGGAAATATTTATTCAAACTTATATAGTTTGAATAAATATTTATTCAAACTACATAAGACTATGTATACCTATTCAGTTTGGCAGATCACATCAAGGGAGGATGGAGGCTTATCTGTGACTTTACAAGCTTTGTTCAGAACATATCGAAAGTTATCACTAGAGTCCTTCTCTGTAAGACTATTAAACCAAGTGACACACCCAAAACTGATTTCATAATATATTCAAGATTTTCCTGTGTATATAAGCATGGAGGAATTAGTTTAGAAAGCGCCCGCTTGAGATTTGGTAAAACTTATTATTGATCAGGGTATTATTCTACACGTCATTGTCTTACTGTATCTTGCGGAGGGCCGGAGTCAAGATCATTGGCAACCACATTATGTTATAAATAAAAAGGTTTCTGATAATTTAATTTAAATGTATTTCCTGTTCAGACATTAACAATGTGACAGTGTAATACTATTTCAAGAGAATAAACCTTTAGTTTATTCTCTTGAATAAAAAAACTGATAAAGAGATTAAGGTGAGGGAACACCCCCAAAATTGTCCTCCTTCGACCAAACTCCCCGACCGGGTGGGGTGGGGGGGGGGGGAGTAATGAGGGAGCGAAGTCTAAGTTGGTGGTGGGGAATCGATGATTATGTGAGAGGGCGTTAGCCGGCTAAAAATAAAATGTGACATGAGTTAATTTCTATCTATATTATGAGTGTATTTTTTTTTTACTATGACCGTCGACACAAAATATATGATTGGACACAACACAACTGATTCTCCCTATGTGTTATACTTAAGTTTAAGAGTTTGCAGCAGCAACTAGCGTTATCATTTATATGGAGCAGAAAGTTGTTAATTAGCTAATTAGGAAAGATTTGGTATTATATTTATTGCCACTGTATAATTTAAGTTTAGTTTTTATTGATTTTACATCGCCTTTAATCAATTGCTTAGGAAAGGTTCATGTGTGATTTTGAAGGTTTCATTTCCGATGCGTACGAATGAGTTTTATATGTGTATTTTATTAGTGTTATATGGAAAATGTGGTGAAATGCGCCTGGCTGGTCCCTAAGTATTGCATATTGCAGAGGTTCACTTCGCATGATATTTGCCGCTTCTGCTTGTTTAGGAAAGACAGTTTTCTCCAGGGGTTTGTTATAGCATGGCTTCAGTCGGCTTGTCTCATCAGTCGTTGACTCGTTTTGATGTATTTCTGCTAAATCCATTTATTGTATCTAGCAACAAGCAATTTGTAACGTACCATGTCTCCGAACATGTGCCAATATATTAGTACAGTATTTGTCTTTGAACTTGATTCCATGCTAAACCCTGAACTAATAGTACCGGTACGGTGTTTTTTTGAATGAAGTGGAGTGCTAGAAAACTCAGTGAGGTACATTCCATGTACACTCACATTCATTTTAGGGAAGCAAAAATATTAGCACAACTACATTATATTCAACCTGTAGTAAAACATATTTCAATAAATGTATTCTATGTTTCTGGCCAACATTTAATTTAATTTTTTTCAATAGGCCATATAATGATATATTTATTGCATCGCTTATCCAATTATTTAGGCCTATTTACGACAATTAGTCATCGGTTTTTGTGAAATGATACTATTATTTTTAGCATTGCTGTTTATATGTTTCACAAATTTAATTTGATTGGATTATGTCTAACATTGCGATGTTGCTGTTATGAAAATTTTACCTCTCGTGGACCGCCGGGTAGGTAGGTAGGCCTTGTTAGTTGTTTCACAGTTTCAGGACACTGGGCCGACGACAGGTAAATTGATCACCCGTGGACGTTAATAGATGAGTATCATCAAGCAACAATCAAAGAACCATCTTTCAGTTTTAAAATTTTCTGAGAATGACTTGAAAATTTAATCATTTAGCTGATTTTAGATAAGTCATGTGCATATTATGAGACCCTTTTCCTGAGTATTCTCTAGAGGCTCATAAAATTATTATTAGCTGTTTGTTCCGATCTTGTCTCAGACGTTGGATAATATTTACGTGTTAAATCGAACATCAAACTATTTCGTAGCATAACACATAATTTAAATAAGCCTATATTGAAGATAATAATAATAATGATAATAATAATAATAATAATATGTACTGTTTGTAACTTTTTTGTAGTTCTGTGTTTTGCTGTTGTTTTATATATTATCAGTGTGTACAACACCGAATTGAACTAAAACAAAATTATTTACTACATTATATTATAGGCTTGCTGTGTTTTAATTCCAATTATTATTGACATCTCTCGAACAAACGTTCTTTTTAAAATAACAAGTGTATTTATTATATTATATTACACTGCACGGGAAATAATTAATCCACTTGTAGCCAGACACACGCCTTCTTATCTATCATATACTGTCTGGAAACTTAAGTTGCTATCGGGTTTTCCGTCATACAATTACTAGATGTTGACGTATAAAATATAGGCTTACGTGTGTTAAAAGCAAATATGTTTCACGTATACAAAAGATTAGAAATAAAACAACATGTTACTTTTAAATACTAACACAAATGTTAATAATTACACAAATATATTTACTTTTGCTTGCACTTAATAACAAGCATTCCGAATGATTCGCATCATTGAAGTAAAATTTAACGAGCATAGTGTACGTTCTTATATCTCACAAGGAGTTATCAAAACTTAGCTAAAGATGATTAACAATAAAACCAATATATATTCAATATCATATATATATGTATATATATATATATAGGAGCTTAGAAGTATCCATAGGGGGAAACTAAAACAATGAAGTGGTTAAAAACAGTACCATAAGGCGAAAGTAGTGTCGCTAAGGGGAAACTAAAGCGACGTTAAGGGGAAATCATAGACAAAAGAGTTTCCCCTTAAGAGCCGAATAAAGGTATGTGTATATATATATATATATATGTATGTATGTATATGTGTGTGTGTGGGTGTGTGTGTGTGTGTGTGTGTGTGTGTGTGGGTGAAATAAAATAAGATAATGTGTGTGTGTGTGTGTGTGTGTGTGTGTGGG